AAGAATCAATGGGGAACAAGTGATCCTTAGGAAAGTTACTCAGCTTAGACATCTCATTTGGCCAAGCACCTTGCTCCCACTCTCTTCATTCTCTTGTTTAAGTTCCTGTGACTTTTTGCTGGTTACTGTCCTTGCTTTGTGGATCCAGCTGATCCAGACTGACATCAGGATCAATCATCATTGCTCAGGGAACACGATGCACTCAGTGCACAGACCCACTAAGGAACAGGGCAAAAAAAAACCTGGGAAAAAAAAGACCCCATACCTGTGGGAGCCCCAACCACACCATCTCACAGCCAGCAGGATAATTCTCAGGGCTGCCAGGCTACTTTCTGTACCCAGCCTGCAAACTAAAAGCTGGATATGAATTTAACCTCAGGGGTTGTTTCCTAGAAAGCTACTGTTCTTTGCTTCCTGACAAGGTGTTAACGTGGGACGTGGGCAAAATTACCCCTCAGAAGCTACCAAACCTGAAAGGCATAGTGAACCTGCAGTCTGGAGCACCCAAGCCAGAGGAGAATCCAAGTTTAAACATCCAGTTTAAGATACAACAGCTTGCAATTTCAGGTGAGTGGGTGGGTGTTCTGTGAAATTGGTGCTGACAGAACAGGTAGTAGTAGGAAATGAAGTGGGAACTGTCAGTCTTTTATTTGGAGATGCTGATCTGAAGTCTGCTTGGTCCAAAATGATAAAGTCTGATTTACCCAAACTTGACAGTTACCTTTGCTGGATGACTCCCTTGCTGGGAATTGTGAATTCCCAGCTGTTCTGCTCAAGGAAGGCTTGAGAAGTGTACAGAAGAATGGCTTTTCCTTTGTTGATTGGTGCTTTAAACATGCCAATGTGTCCTTTTACTGAAGATCGATGGATGATGCTTCAGCATGCTGCCCTTGGCTCATTTTAGTCTTGCACCACACTAAAGCCATTTCTAATGGTCATAAAACCCCATTAATTTTGAAGAATGCCCTTCTTATTCTTTCCTTCTGGAGCTGGTTAGTTTTTCATCTTTAAAACAACCGGCAAGTAAAATCAGAATGAAGCGTATAAGGTAAATGCAAAACTAAATGTAAAGCAGACAAGGCCTCAGCCTGCAAACACTTAAATCATGTGAGTTTTCCATGTGTAAAATGGTTCTGCAAGCAAGCTTTGCAGGATCAAGACTCTCACAGTGTGGAGACACATTTGGAGAGGAGGAGGATGACTGAAGAATAGGTACCAGGCCATGGTCCTTTTGCTTCCTAGACTACTTTGAGTAAATAACAGTTAGTTCTTGTGTAAGAAGAGAATCCTACAGTTTCCTCTTAAACTAGTTTTAGTCTAGAAAAATACAGCTGATCCAGTGGCTGGACACCAGATACAATGGACCTGTGAGAAAGCAGGAACAGCCTGAAGTGGTAGGTAGTTAATAGCTACTGGCCTTCCTCAGTTAACAGCAGGGGGATTGCTGTTCTTTTAATGACAAATTGGAGTGAACAGAATTCTGAAACTTGTCCTTTGCTTCATGTTCATGATTGGAAATGAGTGCAGTGTACAAGGAGGAGGATAGACTCAGTTCAGTCGTTTATCTCCTGGAAGGAGGATGTTGGCTCATGGAGGAGAAGAGAAGGAAGTTGTTGCCCTGCCAAAACAGCTGTGATTAGGTGACAAGAACGGTCTCATCTGCTATTTCAAACCAGATGAACTTGTGAAAGAAAGGAGAATTAGCTTCCTAACCCATCCTAGCGTGCTTCAAGAAAGCTGGACTTCTAAACAGACTGACATGATTCCAAGCATTCTGCTTTTAACTTTGTACTTTCTTTGGCTTTTTTCCAGGACTGAAAGTGAATCGCCTAGACATGTATGGAGAAAAATACAAGCCTTTTAAAGGTGTCAAATATATTACAAAAGCAGGAAAATTCCAAGTCAGGACATGAGAAGATGATCTAAGAGGAAATTCCCCTTAAAAAAAACTTGACTGCTTAGTGACTTATGTTGCTATTAATTAGGTGCCAATTAATTAATAGACACTGATTAGTTTGGGATCAAAGCATTTGTGCACAGCAGCTCTTAAAATGAAAGCATAGCTTAGGTTTTCTTAATATGGCTTTAAAATAAGGTACTTTTTTTCTAATACACTTTCACTCTTTTTTTACTGATTTGTTGTGCTGGTGAATAGTTTGATATAGGCAACCCACAAAATGTCACAAACCCTACACTGCCAGTCAGATACCAAAGCCCAGAGGTCAAGCACATTATGAAGGCCAGACAGGCCACTGGAAAAGTCTGGTGGCATGTTTTGCTGCTGCAGCCACCTGCAAAGAAAGCTCAGTTACTCTCACAGCCAGCTGCAAGCTGGCATTCCACAAAGGAGCCTGTAATCATTTCAGAAATAGAGAGCAGCAGTGAGAGGGGCAGGGGACCCCTAGGACATAGCAAATGTCACTCCTGAGAAAGCTTCTGATGAGGTAAAAAATAATTTCTGTGTTGTTTACAAGAAATTGCCTTTCTTAAGAAGCATTTGCCTTAATCAGCTTTCACTTCTGCCCTCTGCAGATGAGCTGATAAAAATAACATCCTGCATTAAATCTGGGAGGTGATTGTTGCTTCGGTAATCCACTTTCTTTCCATTCAATCTCATCATCTCCATAATTTTTTTTAAGAATACAGTTGCAGAGAGTAAGATCTATTTTTTATGTGAAGCCTTTGCTTTGACTTAGATGTTCCACTTGTTTGAAGCGGATGCCACCAGATGTGTGTGGTGTGTACCTTGGAGCGTAGCTTTTTAGACAGCACAATAGAAGTGTCAAGTGTATTTAATGGTTGTGTGCTTTAATGTTATGAAATAAAGGGAACTCTACTGCAAATATGTCTCATCTTGTGAAATATTCATGCTGAGGTAAATGGTTCACAATGCTCTTAGGCAGGAGGCATCTGATACACAATTAAAAATGACTATTTGCTGCATCTTTACTGAACTTGATCCCTTTGCAGCTACTTAGAGTTTATAAAAGGCTGTTTAGAAGCATAGCAGGTAAGGTCCCTTCAGTATTTTTTATTTCTAAATGGAGGGCAGCTATTTGTTTATGACACTTCAAAGACTCAACAGTGAGGATGCAAAGCTGACTGAACTTCTCGTTACACACCAACAAAAGCTTGTTATCACTTTAAACCAAAACAAGCTCCACAGTACTCATCAGGTTCCAAACCAGGCATTTGGTCAGTACACAGGGGGCTGAATTCAGAATTAAAGAAGGATGGGATACTGGAGAGCCTTTGTTTCCCTGACCTGTTTGGCTCAGAAGTTGATGAATAGGTGCTAACTTTGCTTCAGATGAAGAGCAGGAACCAAAGTAATTCAGTAGTCAAAATTTCAAACACTGGGACAAAAAATGATCAGCCTGGGAAACGGAGGGGAAACCCATCTGAACACTGGCAGCAAGTCAGTAAGAAATTAGCATCATATCACTAGAGTAAACTTGGCCATAAGCAACCATTCTGAATTTCTGAAATTACAGTAGATAAAACAGCACTATGAAGAACCAGCACTTACAATAAGAAAGCCTTGCATTTTTGTAGACACAACAGTGGTTATTAAAAGCTACCAACCTTATAGTCTGCCTTTTTTCAGCTGGAGAAACATCCATGAATTCATTACTCATCTACAGTTCTGCTCCGTGTTTCAGCAAATTATATCCTTCAGTTACTGTAACTGTACAAGAAATCTTGAGAGGTAACTGGTAATGTCCCAAGCTCAACTTTGAGTACCTGGAGCTGCTCCTCTGCATTAGCAGCCTGGAAACACTTGCACCATCTCCTTTGGGAACTGACTCCCTTGCTGGTACAGAACATCAGGTGGTATCAGGACTGGCGAGCCTGGACACCAACTCTGCCCTCCAGCATGTCACAGAACAAGCCTTGCCAGCCACTGTAACTCGGGCACCGGGGAAGCACACCCAAGAGCTGCTGTCTGGGGGAAGGCTCTGATCCATACTTCCCAGCTCACCTCCAGAACTCGGTGTCAACAGGAATTGTACCCACCTGGTAGGAAAGCAGCCTGAGCACAGAGCTGTATTTTGTCAGAGAATAGTGTCTGTTGTGTGAGGCTGATTCCTTTTGCTGAAGGTGTGCTACTTCCTGCCCCTTTCTCCAAACACAGGAAACTCAGCTGCAGACTCTGCACAAGACAAACTGTTTACCTGTTCTCCTGTTAAAAAAAAAAACTGCACCAGCACCTGTATCAAGAGTACAGCTTGGGGAATCAGAGGATGTCATTAGTCAGGAATTACAATGCCAAGTTTTGATCTCCCTTTCTCTAGATGTCCAGCACTGGGAATGCTGACAAAGGTGGCTGTCTGTCAGGTTCTCATCTTCTCTCAGATATGGAGAGAACTGTGTGAACAGTATAAAACTCTGAATTTTACCTATTATCACTAAATCCCAGGTGCCTCCTGGCACTATGGGGGTACATTTGGTCCTACAGCACCAATAAACAAACATTGGTTCCACAAAGTCAGAACATTATGTGTGCTGGTAGAAATTTTTAGCAAGAGAAAGTGTTTGAGAAGTTCCTATGGTGAAGGACTGAAGGAAATAGGACAGTGGTTCCATGCTAATCACCCTTGCATTCAGTTTAAGAGGTAAAATTGAGATTAACAAGATGCTGAGCAGAACAGCAGTTCTTCCCTTACTGACAGGATCAGGCAAACCCCGTTTCAAGGTTTCAGAACCTTGTTTGGGTCTAATAGAACAGATGACTGTCAGGCCCTGGAAAAACTCCTGTTTTCTCCCACTGAACACAGCTTCCAGTAAAGTCTTTAATTCCTAGTTTGACAGGCACAAAGGACAGAAAAAACTTCATTTAATCTTCTCCTGCTTGAGAAACTTTGCACTTTTTTTCTGTTCAGAACATGGAGAAACAAATGTTCTTTTGCTTTAGTATTTCTGCTGCTTTAGTTTTTTGCTACTCTTCTTGTTACAGCATTACCCACTGCTCCATTATCATTAACACCCGCAGGCTGACATTTGTACAAAGGCATTTTTATTGTTTTAACAGAACCAAAGAAAGGTTGAAAACATTAGACTATACAATACATTTTGGTTTATAAACAAAGTTCTATAGTGGTAAAACATTTCCAAGTGACATTCATGGTCTTGTTCAAATTTTTGCTGCACTTTGGGTCTGCAGACCAATGGTTTTCAAAAATGCAGTAATTGCATAAGGTGGACAAGTATCTCAGCTTCTACAAAACAGTTTGAGAACTTAGAGCAAACATTCTAGAAGAATATCAAAGGCAACCATGATTCATAACTCTCCTGCAAACATTCATCAATAAACAAAAAGTGATCTTTGGCATAAACAATTATGTATTAAAGGCATTAGTAATATTGCATTAATATCAGTCAAGCAACTAAACAGTGATGCTAAAATAAAAAATCTCACAGAGAAGCCTGAATTGGGACAGGGGGATGTGAGAAGCATTGAGAAGCAATACAGGAAGACTATTTAGAAAATCCCTTTAAAATAATCCCTACTTACTCAGTGTTATTTACTATTAAATAGAAATTACTACATTAAAATTACGTTAAAGATCTGGTATAAACCAACCAAATGCATCCAGGTTAAGGCTCTGGCACCCCTTCCCTTCTCTTCCCATTGCAGGTAACTGCAGGAAGAGAATACTAAGGAAAGATCCTAAGTACCACATATTTCATAATACCCAGACACAAGGAGCAAATTAAAGACGAACATGTGCCTTCTCTTGCTGAGGTCACTTTGAGGCAGATGTACTATCAACAGTTTAACTTCCCTTTTTAGATAACAGTGCAATGAAAGGGGGTGGAGGGGAGAAAATCCAAGTGTAGAATAACTGTTGCAGAGAGGTAAAGGACAGTTGACTGTGTTGTGTCTCTTCCTTTGAACTTTTAAGACTGAGCAGTTTTTGCACAAGGACACTTCTATTCAAGGTGGTTTGATCATGCAACAATTTGCAGCAAATTAAAAGGGTATTATGATGTCAGTGCTGATTTGGGCAAAGTCTGCAAGTATTCCTTGCAAGTATAAAAACTCAAACAAGTTTTCCTTTCTGTCAAATGCCAAAAGAGACTACGAGGCAATTAAATCAATGTGTATGCACATATATATATATATATGAAGGCATGTTAAATTATGGAAGGATAAAAGAATCACAGGTCTATTTTAGTGAGGGGGAGCTTGGGGGTTTTATTCTTGTCATTTTGTTTGGGATTTTTTTAAAAGATGCAGTAGCACTTTGTTCAATTCACTATTACTAGAACTTGAAAAAAGATTTTCAGCCTCCAAACTCCAAAAGCAGTAAAAATAATGAGGTATGTGTAGCATTAGGAACCACCATTTGCTGGGACCATCAGACTACCTAAATAGAGTTTCATGGACCCTGCAGAGCTCAGGATTCAAAAAGCTTATGCATTGCTGAAAACAAGGGCAGTGAGGCTAAAGGTCTTGTTTAATCGAGTATCTTTATCTTTTAATTTCCACCTTGAGCAGCTGGAATAACATCAGATGGAGAGAAGAGGGAAATAAGAATAATTGCATGTGCTCATTTGGTTTTCAAAAAGAAAGAGCCAGCATGTGGCATTTTCTGGTCCTCGACGTGCAGTCAGCTTAAGAGAACCAGGATGTTTCAGCTCAATATATTGCTGAGTTGAGCAAGGAAAGAGTCCCATGATTTAAGGTCTCCAGCCATAAGGCCTAAGGTGTCAACAGTGTGCCACTAACATCCTCTGCAGAACATTTCAGTACAGTACGAGAGTTCTGGAATGCCTACCTACAGAGTGACAGAGACAGCTCCAGTTTTTGTTAAAGCACTGTTGCCAGGCAAAAATCAAAAGCAAAAAAAAAAACCAATATCAGTTCAGACATGGAATTTTAATCCTCAGTTTACAACTGTTCTGCTGCCCCACCTCCCCTCTTTTAATTAAAAGCCCCACACCATCATTTCTGCATGGTTTTAGAACAGCCAGCTAAAATCCTGTTGGAAAGTTGAATGTTTCTATATCAATGATTCGTCCCTAAAAAACTGCCAAGTAACCAACAGTGTCCTAAACTCTCAAGGCAAGCTTCAAGTGAGGTCCATGTTTCATATCATCACATGGGAACTACTGGAATATATAGTGCATAACTGAAATGTGCTTCTGGGAGTACAGTATTCACTAAGAGAATCTTGAAAAGCAAACCAAAAAAAATTAAATGATAAGAACTGTCTACTGTTGACAGCAAATTTGAGGTGTTTGATATCAAATGTGTTCCAAAGACATTTGAAATGCATTATCTTATAATTCATACCCTTAGAATGGGGCATTAGCATAAGCTAATCTTAAGCTCATGTATACAGCACCTTTTGCTGTTCATATATCTCTTCTGTTTCCAAAAAAAGGCATTTTATGTTACAGAAAACAATACTTATGTGGCAAGTGTTTACTGATACCATGGGGTTTTTCTGACCCAGCGAAGAGTGAACCCAGCATCTGTTCTTATCTTAATGGATGCTGCTTCAGCTTCTCTCACAGTTTCCTTCACAGACTGCATGAGATTCTGGGCATTATGAACCAACATCTCAGTTGCCTGTCAAGAAAAAGAAGAATTTTCCAATATGTCAGTAAATACCACGATTAGGACAGTAGTGTGGAAACCCTTTGTGCACAAAGACTCTTAGTACAAACATCTTAATTCAGGTAATTGCTGACCTAAACTATGAAACAGTAAGTGAAGCAACTAGTCTACAGAAACCAACAAGTGTTATCCCCACTCAAAACAAGGCTTTCCCGTTCTTTGCTGTATATTTGTGCAAAATCTGAATTAAAAAGTGTTTAGCGTGGCTAAGTAGAATAACCTTTATCAGAAGGATTTCACCTGAAAAGATGCATTAGGAAGGTAACTGAGCTGCAGGGAGTAGAGACCATGTTGGAAAATAAACGTTTTCCGCGGAATCCACCCGAGGGCGCCCCTGCCCCTCCCAGGTCCAGCCTGCCACTCAGCTTTTCACTGGCAAATCAGGGAAATTACCAAGTTGGTCACAGCAACATCGGAACCCCAGTAGCTTTTTGCCTTGTTCCTCTAATAAACTTTTGAGCTTTTGAGCCAGAAACCAAACTGCTGTTCTAAAACTATCTTCACTGAACAGCTAAGGTAAGCTTCCAAACACTGAGTTCCCAGAACACATCTGACAGAACATGTTGTTTATTGTTCTCCGTAACACTGATGAACAATTCCAGGCTACCCACCAGGTGTTACACCTCTTACCTGTTCCGACTCTTCATCGCTGATATTAGTCCTGCCCAGCATGGTAGCTTTGACAGTGGAGAGAATTTTCAGCTGTGTACTGATGGTTGGGATTCTCTCACAGACCTAAGGAATGGGCATAAAAACCACTTCACATTGTGAACTGAACCCATGCATTATCTACTGGGGTTTTTTCAGATGCACTTTTTTATTTTCTTTTACTATTAGAAAAGGAATATGATAGAGGGGATCCTATAACCTTCCAAGACTTTCTGATGAACATTGGTAGGATACTTGAATCTTATCTTACTTGCTCTGGGAATTTTTGGGGTGGAGCCAACATTTTTCCTTTCTTCCAGATATTACTCAGATATGCTTGGTTAGGAATGGCATGATGCATATATATTTGGCTGAGACTGAAAAAACTAGAGGAGTGTTATATTTCTGCTACTATTCTTTGATACAAAGGAATGAGTAGATGAAATACAAAACAATGCAGACTTAGGACAGACCAGTATTCACACTTTTCAGTGCTATTGAGAAATATACAAAATATTCAGTATTATTTCGTATTACCAGTATTTTTCAAATCCTCTTTGGCCACGAGCATCTTTCACTCACGTGCAATCAAATCCGAGCTTTACAGAACATATATTCCTAGGGGATCTAAAAGCAGACCCAGAACTTGACAGAACTTTACAAGCCAAACAGATACAGGATTTACTGGCACGACTCCTGTGCTCACCCACGCTACGAGAGGAACAACAAGAGAACCGTGTGAGGCATTTGCAGGCGGACTCGTTACCTGCAGGAGGTTTGTTCTAATGCGCTTGTCCGTGCACTGCTTCGCCACCTCCTTGGCCAACCGCGTCACCTCGTCCGACGCCTTGGCGATATCCTTGGCACACTGGATGAGGGCCCGCTTGTTCCCGCTGCCTCCCCGGACCAGGCGCGACATCTCGGCCATGAGCAGCGCCATCCGCTTGGCCGCCGCGATGATGTCGTTGCCCTGCACACAACAACAGCGCAGCGTCAGGCACCACGGCAGGGCACCACGGGGCTGCCAGGAGCCCAACGGCAGCCGGCGTTTGGGGGCAACACTTGGAAGAAGTTAAGGACTGAAGAACCATTTGTGAACACAGAAGAGGTTTCTTCAAGGAACAGGGAGGATCTGCACTAATTACAGTTTCTGGCAGTTTTGTTCCTAATACTAAGGGGAAAAGTTCGCTTCAAAACTGAAAAGGAAGCTGTAAAGTGTTAGTTTGTCCGTGGAATGAGAGTTACTGCTCTGCTGACTAGATTTTAAGATAAAGCACGTTATTAGCACCCAAAATTTCAGATTTCCCCAGAAACCCACTTTTTAAAGTTAAATAATGTGCTAAAGAGCCTGATAAACCACATAGCACTGATTAAGTTAAATAGTTGTAACAGTTGAGCATAAGATTTTCGGTGGCATATGAAACTGAAGTTGTTAAAGCATAAGCTATGCTGCTGTAATGCTAAAGGATAAAGGGAAGAGAATCTGACATACAAAACTTTTGTCACAGGTAATGTGGAAGTGAAATGCTACGATTACTTTTTTTAAAAGTTATTCCTTGAAAATAAGTCTTCCTTTTTGATAAAATCTCCCCCTTTAAAATAAAGCTTCCAGGAGAGAAGAACATGGTAGTTCAAAAGATAATCTAGTGATATTTCTTACATTAAAATCCCAATTTCTTGTACATCAAAAATTACAGTCACAGAAATACATGAGAAATGTTTGAAATATGAATTGTGACCAAGGCAAAACCATTTCTTAAACACTGTTCCAGAGAGAAACCTAGTGCAAGGGAAAGCAGACCTAGCTGATCAATTGTTAGTAGTCTGTTAGTATATTTAGTGTATTTATATTATTCCCCTTTGTATAAAGTTGTTAGTCAAATGTGAACTATCTGGTGCCTTGAAGCATTCCTGTTGCACGGATGAAATACTACCAGGGTGAGTTTATGTATTGGCACACTCTTTCCTTGGTGTTATTCCATAATTAATGGCCAAAGTTCACAGCAAAGAGTACACAACGAGAACCCAACTTAGCACATGTGTTCTCAACCCTGTGCACACACTTCCATGACTCACTATGAGCAAATTTAGGAAGATATCCCAGACATTTTGCAGATATAGGTGACACAAAAAGCTGAACTATTCATGACCGTGACCTATTAGCTAAACACTTTGCTAGTATAACCAGTTAGGATGCAAATGACATAACACAAAACTTTTCCATGTTTTCACGTAGAAGGATCAAGAAATTAGGACCAGTGTCATTTACGAAGCCCTCTAACAAGTTATCCAAGCATCAGAATCTGAAAAGGACAAGAACATTTTTAAAGCCCTTTTTATTAAAATAGTTCAGTATATCTATCTATGTAAATACACACATGTACATATACACACACCCCTAACTTTTGTTAGTTATGGGACACCAACCTTATTTTTTGCAGCATGCTATGAAAGGTGCCCAGTCTTGCAAACATTTGTGCTTAGACAGAAGAGACAGGCTAGTTGTGAATGTCTGAACCTCATGTTAGATTTCCACTGGTTTCATATAGACACGATCTCAAATCAGGAGCTAACAGCATTCAGTGCAGCTTCTTCATTAGAGAATTCTCTCAAGACCAGCATTTGCAATACAGCCCAGTGCAAGCCAGCAGTCAGTCCTCTTCCATGAACACTGCCATACAAAGCCATTCCTTGCTGGAAAGTATTGTAATTGATGGCATCAATGGAGGCAAAGCACAGCAGACACCTTAAATGACTTCTTGAATGCTGTATACTCTGCTATATCTGGAAGTCATTAAGAAACCATTAACCATGGCTTGCCAGGTAGCCCAAATGAATGGAAAAAAGAACAGGAAGGGAGGAGGAAAGACAACCCCTATTACAATTTGAAAACTGCCATAACAAAGAAGACCAGGCAGATGCAAAGGGAGAGGAAGCCTTCGAATATTAATAAGTGACCCAAATCAAGCTTCAATCCGGCACTGACAAACAGATCTAGCAAGTTGGTGAAGCCACTCTCAGTCCTTAAATGAAGTGCAGACACACTTATTCATTCAGAACGGCGGCCCGGCAGGATCAGAGTGATGCACATGTGTCACGTTCCAAATGGCCGGATGCACGCGGATCAGTCCCCGCGGACTCAGGAGTACCTTACTAGACCACTTGGTTGCTTCTCGATGCAGAGACTGAGCAGCAGCCAGAATGGGCTGGTTAACGGGCTGATTGGTTGGCATTAACAGCAGCTCAGGCTCGTAATCATCTTCAGTGTCATAGGGGAGAGTGAATTCAACATCTGCATCATCCTCCTCATCTACATCTACACCAGCCTCAGCCGCTTCATTAATCACAGTCACATCAGGCTTTGCAGGTGGCAGCAAGGGTGGAGAAACAGGGGACAGTTAGTACAAGAAGCAGAATTTGGTAGAAGAGCACAAACTGAGCAGTTTTAGTGACCAAAACATCCTCTTGGCCTCTCAGGATCTGACAAGGCAGCTCTAGGATCAGGTCAGGGGGAGAAGGGGAAGGAATATAAGATTAGCAGAAAGAAACAAACATTTCACCTGTGAATCAAAGTAACCAAAAATATTAAGAACTTACAATTCAAATATGCAGGAACATTTGTCATCTGAGCATACAGCTTCTACAGACAGAGGCTGACTCACAGAACAACATTTTTCTGGCAAGACAAGGGTGAAATGAATGGATTTTCTCTTTCAATGAAAGCTGTTCTGACTGCACAGAAACAGGCACAGCAGCTGATGACTGTGGGTTTTGTGCACATAGAAAGCTTTGTATGGAAGTCTGTTCATGTATGTGATAAGAGGAGACAGCAGCAGGAGCACAGAAAAACCACTAACACTGCTTGTTGTAGAGTAAAAAAAAAAGATGGGATGGGAAAGGCTGTAGAAGTGAGCACTGACATCACAGAACATGTAAAAGAGCAAAACTGGGTTATGAAAAGAGGAGGTGACACTGGATGTTATGAATGCCATGAATATTACAGTTCTTAAAAAAGACTGAAAGAGAAATAGTAGAATAAGAGGATTATGAAACATATGATACTGTTTTGCCACAATATGTTGTATCCATTACCTTCAAAAAAAAAAGAAAGAGGATTCAAGCAAATATATTGTGTTAGGGTAGATCAAGGAAGAGGTGAGTGGTATAACAATACAGGAATTAATAACATTTAATACAAAAATAGCCTACAAGTTTACAAACTGTATTTCTTCAACTAAAGACAAGTGTGATAAAAGTCAAGGTACCCTTACCAAAACCTTAGCATTTTCAACTGTGTTTTGCTTAAGATACTGCCTTTTATTGAAAAAAAACCCCAATCTACACCAACAAAAACACACAGGAGTTTTGGAAGTGGTAACTCTTACATAAGGCCAAATCAACTCGCCTTCAAAGGCAGCTTATATTTAAGTCTTAATTAATGAAGTTTCCAAATATCCCACGTTCTATGAGTTATCCAAACTAGGGGAAAAGGCAGGGAAGACTAAAGCAATAGACATTGTTTGGTTTGTGCTCCATGACAGAAATGGAGTACATGAAAGCCCAGAAAGCCACTCAGTGAACAGGAGTTTTTATAAAGAAGGAGAAAAAAGAAATAGATTTTAATTCTTACAAGAGCGAAGAATGTTATCAACATTTTTTAAGACTAAGTACTTGTTCACACCCCCACACTTTACTACAGGTGAACTACCTTACCTTAGTAGACTAAAGTAATTCAGCAAAAGAGCAAAAGACAGCTGACACACAGTCTGTTGTGATTTAGTATGAAGAAGATCTTATATTTCTGTCTTTCCAGGTTTAACCCAAATTCCTCAGCACTGTCCATCAATCCCTCTTCTACCCAATAAAGTGACTTCAGAGACTACAGAAGTGTTTTTAAAACTTATTCCCCCAAAACACTGTCAGAATAACTGAACTTTTATTGCTAAAATGGTACTGCTAAAAAAAGAATTAGAAGGACAATTGCTGTTCTAACTTGCTGGTTTGTTGGTCTCAAATTAGAGATATAGCAATGAAAATAGTGTTTTATAATCTAAAATCTCTGATCTTAGATCTCTTTCATAATCTGCAAGGAATTTTAAGTTCTGCTGCTTGGCTTTGATAAATATTTAAACAGTTGCACTACTTAATTTAGAATGCATATAATATATATATAGGTAATTTAGTTATGTATGGTAAAAGCATTTTATTACCTACTCTGTATTGTTAAGTTACCCATTCTGGGATTCCAACATCAAAACACTTTTAGGAAGCTGAAACTAAGGCTTTTAGCCTCAGAACTACCTTCTGAGATGAACAATACATTCCAGGACTGTCCCTTCAGTAATATAAACATGTCTTTGCTATATACAGAAGGAAAGGGGAAATAGAGCTTTTCATTTTGGGGAAGAGACACCCAAACAGATTTGCAGAACTTCTTTTGTATTTTATCTGTACTTCCAAAACAGATGTTCCTTAAGGCCAAAGCACTTAAGTTGATTCTGTAAACTATTCAAGTTTATCTCCTCACTCACCATCTAACTTGGTGGAGAAAAAAAGGGGAAATTTTAAAAGCTGAGTTCTGACTCTTTAATTTACACTTGCAGAAGCCTAAATCTCAGAAGTTCTTACTCAGCTTCTGCCAGAGGAAAAATGTAGCTCTTTGGGGAAGGGGGTGCCAGAGGGCAGAAAGAGAAAAGAAAAAAAAATTATATTAGTATTTGCAAGATTGATGAATTCACACTACTTTGTCATAGCACTGGAATGGTAAGAAATTAGGGATTTCAGCCTTGATAGCAAATGTGACCTATTACAAACAAAGAATGAGACCAGGCCACTTACATATGGTCACTTTTCCACTCATAAATGCACCAGATTAACCTGCAGCTTCTTCCAGAATTAAGACAAACAAGTACATGATTCCTGCAGCTGGCATCTGCAACATCCATACAGACTTTTCAAAGTCACTTATATATAGCAATCAGCTTGTCAGCCCACACAGGCATAAGTATTAGTGGCTCTCTAGGCAATACTAGCAGCAAGGATCACAAACAGCTTGGCATACAAGGCATATTTGTGTTCCCAGGGCTATGTTAATAAAGCATTCTAGCAATTCTAAGTATTAGAACAGTTGACCCTAGTTCACTTTGAACTTGAAAGGGTTTCTAATTCCTCCTACTGCAGTATTTTTACTGTTTGGTCTATGGAAGACCCTGTCATAATACAACTGAATTTGGATGAAACACACAGATACTAAAGTTAGAAGATAATCCTTTTAGTGCACAACACAACAACTTCTTACCTTGCTAGACCATTTCCTGGCTTCATCATGCAACTGTCTGGCAGCCATCATCATGGGTTGGTTAATTGCTTCTCCTGCTTTCTGCTCTGGGAACTCTTCATCCTTTTCTTCAGGTGGTGGTGGTCTGGGCGGGGGAACCTCACCTTCTGGAAGTGGTGGTTTGGGAGGAGCAAGCTCATCAGTCAGCTAAGGAAGGCAAAAATCTTATTCAGTGCAAGGCAACAGTAAAGTAAAACAGACTGAGTAAAGGATGGTGTCATGGCAAGACATCATTGTACGGACTTGAACCTTTTTCCAGTTTTTCAAGTGCATCCTGTTAAAGAAAATACCATGTTTTAATCTTTTCTTTTGAATGCTGGATTGGTATTTTTTAGACTTGAGGCTACTTGTACACATGGTTGGCCTGACAATACCTTTTATTTCTAAGGAATAAAAATATACTTAAGTAATTTCAGTGTGTAATCCACACATCAGTGACAACCCTGTATTTTACTACAAACTATGCTGCACTTACATGAAGGTGCTCAAGGTCAGGAGGAGGAGGGGGAAAATCTGGTTCCTGAGGCTGGAAGGCTTCTCTGACTTTGGCCACAGCTCCCAGAATTCTGTATCCAGAATCCAAGAAACTCTTCTGCAAACCTGAACGAAAAACCCAGTACCAGTTTAATAGTGTTTGATAATATTCAGAACACTACCCCTCAAAAATACTTCTATAATGTACTCTGCCAAGTACACTTATATGTGTGTTTAAAAACTACCCGATTGTTTACAGTGGACTTGCTCATTTGAAGTGTTAGTGTCATATGCAACATGCATAAAATAAAGCAGGCTGAGTAATAGTCACTATCAATAGCCAAAGTAATTCCTGAACAACTTTCACAATCAAAGAAATTATGTTAAATTTTCTTATAGAAAGTAGTACTACTTAAAACTAGTAACAAGTACTTCTAATTAAGATTATGAAATCACATATCAAACTAAAATGATGAATTCTTTTTTTCTTGAATATGCCAAAGGCCTTTGACTGCATTTGAAAAGAGCAGGATTCAGCAGTTAGTGGTGTGACCTTGATTTCATCATTCTGTGAGATTTAAGTGCATACAATATTTGCATAAAAGAGGATACACAGCTGTACAAGAAAAAATGAGCACTAGTTCACATCATCTTCAGTCGGTAAAAAGTACATCTTAAATTAGCTGACTGAATCCTTACCAGGGTCAGAAATGTTTCCTGCCACAGCTTTAGCATCCATTACCATGGGTGATATAGTTTTGCTTAGCTCATCAGAGGCTGCTTTAACAGCCTCCCGAAATTTAGGGTCTTCTGAGTTTTCCACCTCCCGCTTTGCCACCAGCAGGATGCGGTTTGCTCGTCTGGCAATGCTGGTGGCACCAGCTACCAGCATCTGAGGCTGCATGTTGGCCATTGCAACTTTACATTTATCAAGGTCTTTCTTAATAGCCTCTTCTGATGCATCCAGCAGAGATTTAGTGTCAATGGCTTCATCCACCAACCCTGAAATAAAAGTTAAACGTATCAGTGTTCTAGTTCCATCTGTGGAAAGGGATATTTGGTATTCTATAGACAGTTCACAACCAGAAAAGTATTTTAAAACTGGGGTCTGGGGAAGAGCAGGAGAGGGCATGGAAATTAGACTGAATGTACTACTGCAGTTATTCTTCTGGTTGTGTGGTACCCCTGTCACAGCAGCCATGGTGAAGCTTGCTAATCACATCCTGAGCTCTTACTCATCTACCATGGAACATTGTTTCAGTCAAGAAATGGTTTATACAGCATATGCAGCAGAGATTCCTTCCTGCCACCAAATTTCTTTAAGCACATTCAGTACTTTTTGTACCTCTCTCATTCATTCAAAAGGAAATATCCCTCTGCTGTGCTTTTACATAGGGGTGATGTATAGTGACAAAGCAGTAAGATTTACAATACCCACAATTTAATCATTGGGATGGAGAAGGAGGTAGTATACAGTCAGGTGTTTAGTAGCTCAGTGCAAAGGATCTGCACTTGGGAAGGACTGAAACATTTCAGTGTCTCAGCAAGATTCAATAGATCAGCAGCTTTGTTTTATTCACTGCATTCATCAAGCTGTAACAACATTTTAAACATGTTTTCTTACCCTCACTTATCTGTCCTATTTCAACATGCCAAGATTATACAGAAAAAACCTCAAGTTGTCACAGTGATATACTGCTAGAAGAGCAATTGCAATAAAAAGTAATGGTATTCTGGTTTTCCTACAAGAGAACTAAAGGGCTATTTGCTCCCCTCAGCTCAGTATTAACACATCAGAAGCCAGTTATTTTGCATATGCTGTAACATATACATATTCCTCAAGTCAGAGACCATGTTCCCACTTCTCTTATTTTTAATCAGTCATTACTCTTATGCATGTTTCATCAATCCAAACAGAATGGAGAAAAATCTACACAAGCTAGTTAGCCACAGGTAGGATCTTCAACAAAAATTCCTACTTTACCTGTCATTTTTTCTACATTATCAATCCACTGGTTTTTCATGGTCTCAAAATGTTCATAAGCAGCTTGATTTCCAGGATTTCTCAGGAGGATACGAGCAGCCGATACTACCTGGCAACGAAAAACATTTTTAATTATCAGTATATATCAACATCACACGTATTCTTGAAAATGCATTTGGTTTTTCAAGACTGGATGTGTAGCTCCTCATTTGAAATACTAGTTCATTAATTCTAGTGCAACGTCCAGCTGCTTGAAGATCTACAATACTTCTGGAATTTGTTGGCACAAATCCTTTTTTCTGGAACTTCAGTTACATACTAATATATCTTACAAACAACTCCTGAAAGCATTAAAATACAATATTTATTACACTACCAAAATTTTAGGTGGAAGTGGGTGCTAGAGCAATTTTTTTCCACTTACATATTTTACTAAGCCTCAAAATCTTTTTAAGTCTAAGTCATAGACACTTTTGTCGAGAAGTTGAAGAGTAAGACATGTAATATCATCATTTTGTTCTACTTGGTATCATATATATAAATATTTTCCATTCCCCTTTTAAGACTGTCAGTGCTATGTTCCTTGCTGGTATTAACATCAAGAGAAGAAGCACAAGGAAAATTCCCCAGAAGTCATCCCCAGCCCTTTTAACAGCCCTTCCAGCCCAAGGAAGCCAACCTGTGGGGTAAGTTCCCTTGCTGATTTCACTGTTGCCTGAATGCCCTCCACAGTAGTTTTATTTGCAGTTCCAACTGCAGCTGCTTTTTCTGCTGTAGCTCCCAGTTTAGCAGCATGGTTTTCAAAGTTTGCTGCTCTTTCATCAAACACCTAGTTGTCAAAAGAGAAGACACATCAAAAAAAAGCCCAAACCTTCCTAACAGAATGCACAATTTCTTCTAAGTGTCAGAGACATCTTCATAACATCCACATTTCATTCATTCCGAGAGGATGCAAGAGGACACAAAAGCTTTGAAGGTGTTTGATTTTTTTTACTGACTCAGTTGGGCAACTAAGGATACATATATATTTTATAGCTTTGAGGTATTAAGTTCATTCATTCCTGATGACTACTGCTGCAACAAATACTGTGTTAAAACTACTTTAGCTCCTAGATATTAATCTTCAAACCCATAATCCAAAAGTAACTATATTTTAAAAGATAAATAAGGGAGTTTACCCTAAAAATTGAAGTTTCACCTTGGAAAAAAATTCCTTCCTTTCGCAGTCCTTTCAAGGAACAGAATACTTTGACAAAAAGCCATCCTGTCATAAAGCTGAATTCTCCAAGGCCTTTGGAATAATTTTAATCATGTTTAAAACAAACTAGAGAAACAGAGCTGCCACACACAGAGTTTTAGATACTTCACGTGCAGCCAGTAGCTTTGAAGTACAGGAAACAATATCCAGGAAGAGAAGAAGTTGAATCTGTTGATAAATCCTGGCATGAATTTGACTATTGTAATAAGCTTATGTAATGCTGAGATATAAAATCCACTAACTAATGTGTCAGCAGTTTTTGCACAAGAATTTTTAGCCAGCTGAAGGCAATGTGATACCAACATTACAAGGAGAAATCTTTGCCATTTACTGAAGTCAGGGATATCCTGAGTTTCCAGGGATATCCAATTCACAGTCTCCAAGAGTTCAGAGAGAGATTTGCATAGTAATCATTATGCTGTCAGAATTAGTAAACATGTAACAGAAACCTGAGAAAAAAATACCAATTCTTTTTTCAGAACACTGGTTTATTTTTCAAAATACCAATTCAGGTAAAATTAAACACTAAGTGAAGCTTCCCATGGGAAGGAAAAGACCACCTGGGTATACTTGCCTCATCTCTGTTGGGAGCATCAGAGGGAGCAGTGGCTGCGACAGCTAACAGTTTAATAGGAGTTGTGGTGTCACTGAAGACATCAGAAACTTCCTGGGTCATTGCCTCTTGCATCCGTGTTTTAAGATCCTTAAAATACAGGAAAATTATTGGCATATGATACAGGGGTATAAAGTTTGTAGGGATTCAAATTCCATAAAACCTCCTCTTGTTAAAAAAAGCCCATTCCGAGAGCAGACATTAAGATAAAATAACCTTAAAATCATGATTAATTACCTTTTACATAATTTGAAATACACGAAGCTTACATACTACTCCTGGAAGCAGCATTAGAAGCTACGAACAGCACCATTTGAGATCTTGCCCCTCAAATTTGCAGTGCTAGCACACTATTTTCTTTTAAAAGAGACTTCTATTTTTCTGTTAAACTGTTCATTTGGAACTAAGCCCTAAGCACGATAACAAGGTCTTTGTAGAAAGTTTGGTTGAAACATCTCAGCTAACCCAACAGGATTTTTGGAGCACTTTTCTTTTTATTGATGCCTCACACACACAAGCACTTGGTCAGAGGAGCTCAAGTGCTTCAGTGTATGGTGTGCTTGCCTGCACGAGAGCAGACTTGTACCTTCAATGAGTCCTGAAGCTGAGCAGCAATTGCCCTGGCCTGAGGGGACTCCCCCTCCCCTCTGGCAGCGAGGTCAGCGAGCTGAGCAGCCAGCTGGTCCACACGGTCACACTTGGCGAGCAGGTCCTGCCGGTAAGGGCCCATCATGACGTTGGCTAAACGGCGACCTTCGGCAACCAGCCCCCGGATCGCTGCCTGCCCTGCAGGGGAACAAGTCATCTTCCATCAGCATGTGGGGGAACAAAAGACTGAGGGTACAAATCAGATGCACCATGAAGTATTGACACATACATGTACACATCAGAATTCTTGGGGTTTTTAAAACACCTTTCTAGGTGGTGAAAGAGATCTTCTGCAGTTTATCATTGAGGAATTGCAGATCAAACCCACAGAGGAATTCAACTCTCTCCAGTTTCTTAGTTGCTTAATTCAGCAACTCTGGCTAGAGATGCATCCTTTTTAACTATGGTGGTCTGACAGAAGTTAACCATGACATAACTAATCTGTTAACTCCAATAGAAACCACTTGCAAATTCCAAGTACTGCAATTCACCCCCAAATCATCAGAACATGAGTACCAGAAGCAAGAGGAAAAGCCAAGTAGAAACCATAAATAAAAAAAGCAGAATGCCCCCTCTGAGAATTCCAGAAACCATGGGTAAGAAGTGTCAAGTATCTGGGATTGGAGGAGATGGAGGGGGTAGGGAACACCTTACAAAGGCTCTGCAGTGAACTGAAAGTTTTTCTGTAATGGAAAAAAAAAATATCATTTTTAGCATAGGTGATTCCCTTCATTCACTTAAAGACACTTCCTGCTCTTTCATAGGAATGTAATTCTCTGCTCTTTCAATAACACAACAGCAGTATTCTTTTAAAAGAACTCATCATATATTAAGTCCCTCAAAGATCTACAGAAGAATAATTTTAAGCTAATGCAATCCAACTTTGTGATCAAGCTCAAAATTACTTAGGAAGTTGTCACGGTACCAAACTATCCAAGAATCACTCAGCACTGCCACCATCATTTTAGAAAACTTATCAGTGTAGCTAAGTTTGGTGCTGTTGGAATGTCCCAAGATGTTTTCTAATTACTCTTTTGCTAGGTCAAGTGCAGCCAAGCAAGAATGCTTCACACACCAGTTTACTATTTTGGTACATCTTGCCTAGTTTGTATGTGCCAATTATTACTACTTCAGGTAATTCAGAATAGGAGTGCAAGTCAATATCTGTAGCAGCCAACACTAGTCAAGTAGCTGACATGTTTATAAAACAAAATACACATTATGCCTCTATTTTATTTCAGAGTTTAGCTTTTGTTGAAGCACTGCCCTGGGTTACCAGCAAACCCACGGGATTATTTGTAACATAGTCCCTACTACTGCAGAGAACACTGAAGGATTCTACCGTTATTATAGCACTGAAAATATTAGGCTAAATTCTACCAGAAGTGCTGTCCAGACTGAAAAGAGAACATATCTGATTTATATTCTTAATATATCTTAATATATCCTGCCAAGTGCCAGTGCAAGTGAAAGACATTTAAATGAAAAAAAGCATACAATGACCTCATGTTAGAATTTTCTTTATTGAACTAAAAACATTAAAGTTATGGGACATGCCACATCTTGCATCTCTACACACATTTTTGTCACATGTATTACTCCAGCATTTGATTAAACTGACTGTTGAGAAACTTCAATTCTTCAGCAAGCCCCCAGTATGTATGCAAGCCTCATGATTTATTAGGTCATTAGACTTCAGAGAGGATTTAAGCTACCTTTGTTTCTTTTCAACTAAAAATAACAGAAATTAAACTTAGGTTTCATGGTTTTTTGAGCCCACCACCTGACAGGTTATCATGTTCAAGAGAAAGATCAAAATTAGGAAGGTTTTCAGCCACTGTCAAAACATCTTAGGAGACCTATCTACCACCTTCTCATTCATCCCATTCTGAATGCAATCCACTCATCAGCAAGTGCAAAATACAGAACCCCACTATTCTGTTTAAAATGTTTCCTTTAAATTTAGACTTCACAGATGTCCAAGCTATCAACATCATTCAATCTTTAGTTCAAGGATCTGTCATTGGTTATTCACACAACAGAAGTTATCTGGACAGATGGGGAGAAGTGTGAGAAAGAGGTATTAAAGGTTTGCAGTTATACCACTTCTTATAACGTGTGCTTCCAGTCAGTCATCGGGATCAGCTGGACTGTTGTGGAAAAAACTACTCAATCCAGTTTTCAAGCTTCATGTATCTACTTGCAATAACATCAGGAGAAGATAAACAAGACATTTCTGAAATGGTTTACAATAAGCTCTCAGTACAGCAACTCCTGAACCACACTGATAGCATACTTGGATTATCAGATCCCCTTTCTCTTTAATTAGTAGCATTCTCCTCAGATAACCCAGAAACCATATAAGAAGTGATATTTTTAGGTCAGGTTTAAGAATATTTTTCTCTTCTCTGAAGGACTTAATTACTCAATTTGCTGAAGTAGGTATAAATTCAAATTCAAGACACTATATTTGCATAATAAAAGCAAGGAGCAGCCTGTCTTTGTGCGCTGTACAGCAAAAGTTCTCCTATTCTTTAGGAATGAATAGGAAAGTTGTTCTTTCCACAACACAAAGAGAATCACAGGCCAACTTGATTCTGTAATTTCTCAGCCAGGAGCTGGCTATAAATCTCCAAGTCTCCACATCAGTGAAGAGTCAATGCATCCTCAGCATCTCAGGAGCAATTGTTTCCACCACAAAAATTACTAACAATTAATTGTGAAACTGGGGGGGAAGAACACATGGAAACACTTACCTACTCCCCGATCAGCAACTGTAGGATTGTCTATCCACCTCTGAGCTTGTTCAATCTTGCCCTCCAAATGGACAGCTGCTTTAACTGGCCTAGTATTTGCCACAGCCCTGTTTGTTTTGGACTGTAAATTCTGAAGTGATGTAGCTATTTGCTTAGCCAGTGCACGGGCCTCAGGAGAGTCACCTTTCCCACTAAACATTTAAAAAAAAAAAGTATAGTCCTATAAAGATCATTTATAGATAGTCTCAAATTCAGCAGGAAGACACAATGAAAGTTACTTCAACTTTTTAAATAAGGTTAAATTTGACACTTGAGTTGAGACTCTGAGGAGCAATTGCCTGCTGTGGTACCTGGGTATTACATATGTTCAACACAGCACCAAGGTGGGGAAAGGCATAGTACTGTCCTTGCTAAAACTGATGTATGACTTCATTTCCCACATCCATGGCTGTCTTATGAGCAACTGCAATAATGCCATACAGATTACAAGCAGAAAAGTAAGCAGCCCCAGGCCAAAGGCTACACATAAACTTGACAAGAAGTAGCACATTAAGACCTGCAGCACCTAAAGCTCAAGAAAAACTCAATTAAACTATCTAACTAATGAAGCAAGAAAAATATTTATCTCCGTATTCCAACTGGTCTTAGATGAAGACCACAGTTCATACAATAACCATTTCTCCTCTCCAGTCTCAAGCAACCTCTTTTATACAGTTTGCAGTTACAGCTTAGAACACTGATGGAAGTGGTAGATATTCCACTTTGACATTTAGTAAACCGCTTTGCAAAAAACAGTGATGACATCTGCCTGTATAAACAAACTTAAATTTCCCATTACCTCGTTGTTTTGACAGTACAAATGAGCTCACTTTTGGCTTCAGTTTGCTTGTCAAATATTCCATAGGCAGTAGAAAGAAAATATTTCTAGGTAATTGTAATGCTAACATCTTCAGTTACTCTTTTTTTTTCTTTTAAAGAAGCTAGTGCAAGCTAGGCTTTTTCTTTTATTTTAATCATCATTAATCCAATTAATCATCAATATTCTGATCTTGCCCAGCATTGTGAATGGAAAATGATAGTAATTCAAACAAATGAATGGGGATAAAACTAATACGTACTGTCGTCGCAGATCTGACAACTTGGCTGTCAAAGCAGAGATTTCCCCCAAGGAACGAAGGATATCATCTCTTTCTTTAGGCTCCTCACACAGTTCTGCAACTTTCCTTGCTTCAGCCATAATTCCCCGGATATGTTCTTCTCCTTCACTGCCCCCGTTAGGATCTGCAAGCCAATTCTTAATACAAAGAAGTCATGTACAGGTGAAGACAAACAGTAATATTATTTCTATAGATGCTTTCAAAAAAACACCAAATATCAATTCGGCTTTCAAAATTTTATCTAAGAGAAAATACTTCTCAAAAGCAATTTCTGTTGAAGTCAGAAAGACCATGAAGTCATTCTATGGTCTGATAGCTTTCCTGTTTTGAAAAAGATGTCAAACAAGACAAGATCTACCCAAAGACTTTACATTCACTCTTTCCCCTCAACAGTATTTTCAGAAGTAAAATTTAACTCGTGCCTTTAGAGACTGATAATCTGGCTTTCAGAAAAAAAAAGAAAACAGATCCTCCTGAGCCCACTGGGGCACACTTTCTAGAGCTCTTCCTAAAGTGTTCCATTAGCATTTCATTTGATAAATATGTAATATTAACGTCTCTTTATATATTGATAATTATATACACATATACACATTTAGATAAGGTATATATAACATGTTCATTTAATCACCATCATAGTTATAACTGGGTAACAGACTGACCATTGAGGGATATAAAGTTACAAAAATAAAGGATCAATTAAAAGAAAAATGTTAATGAAACTGCATTTTTCACTTTTGTCAGGAATATTAAGTTCTAAATCCTAGATTCCACTCTCAAAACAGAACCCAAAGAAAGGGCTCTAGTTTTATCCATCAGTCTGTGCAGCCTGAAACTCCTCTACTCTTTTCTTTAATAAGATTAGTTCATATGCAAATTTAAGGTGTTCCATCACTTTACTTTATTAATTTTTAGTAACAAAGTTACCAGAAAAGGTCATGAACTGTAGTAAAACTCACAGCACGCTGTTAATTACTGAATTTAAGATTGTTCATTGTTAAAACAAGTACCCCTTCTATGTTATTCCGGTCAAGTTTTGTTTTGGAAGCAACTACAGTGGTTCAGAATAACATCTCTAACAGCAGTAACATCATCACATTCTGAAGTATTTATTAAATCCCTGGTGGTACCTGAGCAGCATCAATCTTCTTAGCAATGGCCTGCTTGGAGTTTGTCATGGCCTCCAGCTTGCGGGCTGCATTCTCCACTTTGGCAGTGAGCAAGTCCAGACCTTGGGACACCTGCTGTGCTTTCTGCATAGCCATGGGTGTGCCACCCTGTCCTCTGCCCAAGACAAAAAGAGCACCACAGATTCAGCTCAGGTCTGGAAAAAGCTCTTTTCTAGTGAAGAGGCAACAAAAACTGCTTATGAGCACTCACAGCTATTATTGCCAGACATATAGTATTTAATCAGATTTTTCCCCCCCAAAGAAAGCAAAAAATTACTGAGGAATAACATGACAACAAGAGGAGATAAAAACTAAGTTTATTTTCCCTATTTCAGAATGTGACATTTAGCATCCTCAGAAGAACAAACAGTTTTTAAGTGTCACAAAGTAAGGCCATTTATGGATACAGTTGCATTCAAGTACACCAGACAAAGCCTCTTATCTTCTCATTTATAGACTTGCAAAGGGTCAGAATCTGCAGGAGTTATGTCTCCCCACACCTAAGTGAGGACAGCAAGTCAGTAAGTGAAAATAAAATATCTTAGCTGCCTCAATCATGTTGACAAAGTAGATTAAAGGTTACAGGCTATTCGTAAGAGATCTTAAAATGCTGAGAAGAATACTAGCAAGACAAATTTACAGGGCTGTAGAAAACAATTTACAGCACTAGCACTGTTTGTTCAAATGCTCAGGAGTTAGAAGCTGGATAGAAAGATTACTTAGATCCATATGCCTGAGTATGTTTGCTGCTCTCTTCCAAAATCAGCTGACTACTGAAAAGCTTTGTTAACACGTGAACTTAATCAAACTCCTAACTTTTAAAAGGCTACAGTAAGTGGAAGGATGACAAGCTATTGAGATGTTGAGGTGTATTTACACAGTCAGGCCAGAGTTTCAAAATACGTTTCTTTATACCTTATTTTTCACTGGCTGAGTTGAAGCTATTTACATATTAAACCAGTATATAAACTAAATCATTTTTTAGTAAATCTAAGTCCTGTCTCTTCCTTTACCTCCAAAAATTGTACATCATACAAAGCTGACACCAGCCACTGCTTTGGAAGAAGAATAAGAGTTTTGCCTATTTTCTAACACTGTGCAAAAACTGATGCAAAGCAGATCTTAAATTCTATCAGGGCAATCAACTGAGAATCCAAGAGAAGATAAACTAAAACCAGCTTCTTATCCACTACCACTACTACAGCTATCACTTCAATGACAATCTAACCTGTATTTCTGAGTTTTGGCCTTTTTAGCTTTTATATAGCAAACTAACAACTCTTCCTGGAAACTATTTCCAGTTGTGTAAGTATCATTGCAACACTTCGGAGCTGAGCAGGCTATGGATTTAAAGTGATAGCAGGGAATTCTTGTTCTTGAAGTGACTCAAAACACAGCTCTCCAAATAATTTGCATTTGCTCACTTCCTGCACTTCACTGGGGCCTTAAACCTTTTTTTAATTATTTTTTAAATTTTATTTTAAATAAAACACTCCTGACTTCTGTTGCTTTTTCAAACAGTTTGAAAGATTCATTAACATTAAGGAGAAATATTATACCAATTTACTATCACCTGTATCCTTAATGGATCACAATGAATAGCTTTCTGGGGTTTCTGGGTGTGGTATTTTTGCAGGGTGGGGAGCAGTGTTACAACAAAATAAAGAAATCAATTTTAAAGCACTCTAGCTTAACAATTTACTACATTGATAAGCAGCTGAAAAATTCCTTATACTCAAAGGAAACACCTAAAGACTAGAATATTCAAGTATCTTACAGTAATTGGGGTATATCCTCTTTGGAGGACAGACTTCACAGTAGAGTTTAAAACTTCATTTCTGCCTAATTTGGAGGAAGGTTACGGGTTTGACATTAAGCAAACTCTGAATTATCTACCTGAGCAATTCTGTTCATTTATATAATGAACATTTCCCTTACTAAAACATACTATTCAGAAAAGACCAAAGTGAAAAAAAGGCAAAATACAGATTAGGAAGTTCAGAAAAAACATTTTAACAGCACTGGCAAACAGTCCATTCAAAGCAATAGATTCACCTAGCTCGGAGGTCAGCCAGCTGGTCAGTCATCTGTCCCAGAGTTTTGCATGTCCCCAGAATCTCTCTGCGTTCTTTGCCTGCACACAGTTCTCCTGCTTTTCCAGCTTCATCAAGGATCTGCCTTATTGCTTGCTCCCCAGCATCCCCTAAGACACAGAGTCAGTCAGTACAACAAACAAGCCATTCCTTGACATGTACGAGTAAACTACTGAAGTCATCATGTCCCAACACATTTAACTGCATTGGGTTCAGCTGGGAAAACACATTCATTGAAAAGCCATGAGATAGACACCAAACCCCAACAATTCACATTTTACAACTCTATTATTTTGGCTTTGATTTCAGAGGAAGTCATTCTGATAAGGTCTTTCAGAGTCCAAATGGAAAGGCCTCTATCTAGCTTTTTTTACTTTAAAGATACATACAAAGGCAAACCACTTATATAACTAAAGATAACTGCAATTGGAGTATTTATGGCAGATTTTCATGTTAAAAATTTTACATCAAGACTGAAAGAAAAACATGTCAAGAGATTCTGTTAGACAAATCTAAAGTTAGACAAACTTGAAAATAAAAAGGAGGGATTTTAAACATTACCAAAGACTGCAATTAAGTACTGTTCAATAAAGTAATAAATACAGGTTCCTTCAGAATGATCCACTATGTATAGGTTAACAGTGCTTAAAGACAATTTTGCCTTAAACAACAGAAATATTAAGATCTTTAAAAAAGAAAATACTTTATGCTGTTATTTTTTTTTTGTTAATATTACCTGGAGGTGCATTTGGATCTCTCAGCCAACCTTTTGCCTGATTCATCTTTGAATCTATCAAGGCTAATGCTCTTTTCATGGCTTCGGTGTCCTTTACAAAAAAAGAAACCACCAAAATGAAGCTCAAAAAAACCCCAAATGCACAAATAATCAACACAACCAAAGCAGACAAAGGTTCTATAAAGCAGAGTCTACTTACAGAAACACATTCGTATAAGCAGCTCAAAAACCAATTTCAAACTAGCAGGTCATAATCACTTCTTTCCCATTAGGACAGACATTTTCATTTCACTCAAAATGCAGAAAATAAGCATGCAATTTTAGTGACTTTTCTATTCCTTCATTTATTAGTGTTTTAATTTCTAAAACTGGAGCTCTAATAAGCACACATCTTGGAGTTAGTTCCCTTTTTTCCTTACTGTACATCAGGGCACATAGAAAAGTTATGTAATTAGAGTAAACCTTTCAGAAATGAAAATTGGGCAGTGAATTTTACTACTTACTTCAGTGTAAGAGGCTGCACATTTGCATTTTTCACCTACTCTGTTGCTTTAAGTCAAACAATTGCTGTTTGCAAAAAAATAGATTACCAGCTAATTCCTGAAACTCTCAGATATGGAGTTTAATGCCTTCAGAGAGAAACACATGTATTTACATGTGGTTGTTTTAAACTCTGAACTTTCTGAGAGAAGCATCAAAGCTGCTGCTTCTTTCGCTACTCTGCCACTATTATCCAACACCTGACTCCAGGAGATAAAACCACCCAGTTCTGATTTCTCCACATACTGTGTTTATTATTCCTGTGCTATCTCTCCACTAGAGGCCACAAGTTTTCCATCTTACACAAATGGAAGGACAGTGAAAACACAAACAAGTACCTTAAGTAAAAAGTTGGAAAAAAGCCAAAATAGCTTTTTACTACACATGTCATTGAAATAATTTGAAATGCATCTAACATTCTATGATTAGTATACAGATGATAAAAAGAAGCCTGGCTCTTGCCTTATTATCTGAATTTGACTGCCCGTGTCCCATTCGTATGAAGAAGAGCCAACAAGCATCAGTGATCAGTATCTGGTATAGCATGTGGTATCCTGACAACACTAAAAAAATGCCACATTTTTGGGGAATTGTTCATTCTGTATGCTTAGTCTCAAAGACACAATACTGTAAACATTTTGGCATTTTTATTCAGGCATGTTGGTCTGTCAGCTATTCATAAGGTGCTATAATATAAGTAAGCAACCAACTTTCTAAAGTGTCCTGTGACACTGCTGAGTATTTGTAAAGGCTCTTAAATCACAGCCTGAGAGAGAGCACCAAAAGCAGAACTATTTTCAGATAGATGATTGGTTCTCAAATCTAGAAACTGAATCTCAAATCTTAGTTGGGACCTCTTTGAAAAAACTTCAAAAAGGTAGGATATGCAGCTAAGGAGTGGGAGGCAGGTACATTCTTTTAAAAGCTGTCTTCTCTATAGTTTGAGAATTGTGCATTTACTATATGATAAGAGACAAGTAAATATTCATTAAAGTTTTCAAATGTATATAGAAACCTTACTATCTATTAAAGTAGGTGTTACAGTTTTCTATGTTTTATATATGGGCTGAAGCCACTTGACTTTAAAATGAATGGTCTACTGCAGGCCCATCTACCCAGAAACAATCTGAAACAAAGAACCCACTGAATTTTTAAAAAGGCAACAGATGTTGCTTATTGTGTTGATGAGATGATAGGTGTGGGCTGAGAAAAGGAGAGTGTTGGGAAAACTGTCTTTGCCCCTCCCTTTTCACTCACACAGGCTTTTGTGTTGTCTCAGCTGCCTGCAGAGTTGCAGTTTCAGCAAAATTATACAGATGCCTCTGACTCTAAAGTCTTCTTTCTGAGGAAAAAATCATTAGTGTTTTAGATGTTACCCTCCTGATTTGAGACAATTGCTAGAACTACCCAAGCAGTAACAGGATGCATCTGCCATGTCATATGAAGGCTATATAACTGGATTGCTTTTCAGTGTAAGTCTTGCTACCCTGTGTGCCTCTGTACTCACATTTGTAAAACACTGTCCCCTTTCCCTATTTAAAAAAATCTGGTGAAATCCTAGTGTAGCAGTTGAAGTGTTCCAAGACAATTGATCTTAAAGCACTAAATTTCCCATCTTCACAGCTCAAGGAATCTCTCTCAACTTCAGCTTCATGAGTTTTTGTTGCAATAAGATGAGTAATACAAATAGAAAATTAGAATGCATTGTTAACTAGGTTTGTTGATACTGCACTGCTGTTTCTGCAAGAGCTGTGTCTGGTGTCAGATACTTGGCAAAGGAAAAGGTCTGGACTTGTCCACCAAGTCAGGCTATTAAGCAGGAAGACAAAAGCAGAAATACTCAGTTTAAACAAACCACAGCAACTTGCTCAAGGTCTTACTGCTTAAAAGTATCTTGGATCGTCCTGATTTCTCTACCTGTTTAAATACCTCGTTCCTTCCTAAAAAAGCAAATCTTGTTTAAAATTTAACTCTTTTGGGATTTACCAGCAGAATATCAGTTGCAAACAAGGAAAAAACCATCCAATGGCTAGGCTGCAAAAAAGTTGTTTTATCAGCAAAAATTGATTCATTTTCTCATCTCCCTGCAGTTCCCCTGTTGGCAAAAGGAATTTCATTTAAAAAAAGCAGCACTATTACTTTTTCAGGGAGATAAAAAAACTTAATCAACTTAAACAACTAGGGCAACATTGTCTGAAGGGTAAAGAGCAAGCTGGCTTTTTTTCAAAGTAGTTGCAAAAGCAAATAAGCCCTTATTCAAGATACTTTTATGCATCACTTCTGCCACTACCAAGAATGTTGAACTTATTCATGGAGTAGGTAGTATTGGCTTTGCTTTGAAAAAGAGCAAAATAAATCCAACTGAATGTAAAGCACAACCTCTGACTCAGTAAAGTGGTCTAGTCTAGGGATATCTGCATTTCATTACCAAAGAAGGCAATGTTGAAGGAAATAGGCAAAGCCAGCCTCCTGTCCTGGCAGGACAAATAGCTTAGTCACCATTCAGGGTTCAATCCTGCAAGATACCAGATACTCCTCAGCTTCTTACAACTTTTAACTCCTTCCATTTCTATGGAAATAGATGTTTGTATTGAGTATTACTTCAAAATTTATTTTAAAGTAAACACTAAGAATATACAAGAGAAAACTCAATTCCTCTGTAAAATCAAAAATTCAATGAAAAAAGGTGCAAAGCTTTGAATGAAAGAAAGAAATACAGATTTATTTTTTCCCCCAAGATTTTGTTAGAGAATGGTATTTCAATTCTAAAGCAGCATACTATTTTAAAAAATGCAGTGTTGGTGCAAGTAGAGATTATTGGAATCCAGTAACAGTAAAGTACATTCTGGAGTCTAGAAGACCAACAAAATAGTTTACAAAAATCCCTACAGCTCTGGCTCCATACCTTGTTCATCATCCACTCTCTCTAGACAGACTGTGATACTTCAATGTATAAACAATTCAAGATAGAATAATAACCATAAAATAAACTCCAACATCAACAACAGCTTTATTACACAGCCAAAAATTCAAGGCTGTGCATCTGCAAACACCCTACTTTGCTCCAGAAAAACATGGGGAAAGTATCTTTCCCATGACCAGCAGCTGCAAAATGCATGCAACAGTAACCTCAACTACAATTAAATAGCTCCTTCATCGCCCTTCCAGAAAAATAATGAGTAAGTCAACTGTTAGATATATATGCAAATACAGGATAAGGTCTGTAACAGGTGGCCAGTAGCAAACTAGTTCCTGCTTCTTCATCCCACTGCATCTTTCAATTCAAATGCTTTATCCTGACTGTTTGGTTAATCCCCAGTGTTACAGTTCCAAACCATCAGTGTACCTTAATTCAAAACCTAAATACAATTAAAAAGTTCTCAGTTCAGAACATAATGATACTTTTATTATACTAGTCCACATAACATACTTACACATTAAGCATAATGACCAATATTTTCCATTAGGAAATATTGCTAATATGTCAAATGTTTTCTTAATGAAATCCTTTCTTGATCTTCCTCTCTAGCAAGAAGAGTAAGAATTTCCTATGGCTAAATTGCCAACTTTTTGCAAGAGACATTTTTCTTTACCACAAAAACTTCCAAATTTGTTGTGTGAAATAAAACTGTATTTGCATTTCATAAAATACAGCAAAGCTTAAATCAAAAAATAAAACTGAACTGAAAAAGTGCACATACAAAACTGCAGTTTTAGGCCTAGATCCAAAGAACATGAACCACCTGAACTGAAGGAAGGTTGCTAGTAAAACATTATGGAATAGACAAAATTCCTGGTTTAATAAAGCTTTCTGGCCATGCAGAAAGCTCATTCCTGCATGACTGGATCCTTTATTTGCTGCTACAAAGACAAGTAACATAAATTAACACAAAAGCATTCAGCAAGAATGTGCTGTAAAATCTTGGCCTAACTCTAATCAGACTCAGAAAGACAGTCTTAATGCAGTTCAGCTTGCAATTACCATTCTCTTAGTGACAGCCACTTCCACAGACAGCTAGACAGAGCTATTAAGATCCTTTTAAAACTTTGTGTGTACAAACATAAGTATGGTGTCACAGCTGGCACACAAGGAGTTGCACAGCACACAGCACAAAAATCCCACAGACATGCTTTCTTTGATTTTAGTACAAGGTAAAGGTGGAGGGTGTGGGAGAAAGCTTACCTTCTAAAGGTGAGAAAAGGGTAAGAAACAGGACAACAAAAACAAAGATGCATACAGTAGTCATAATAAGGAAGTGATAGTGACGAAATAACTCAAGAGGCAAACTAAAGGTCAAGTGCCAAACAACATAGGCCAAAGTGATTTTATGTCAAGGTTACATCAATGTTAGATTTCCTGCAAGATTGCATTTGCTAACCAGTCTGGCTTCAGGCCTCAATATATTCTTTAATGATACTTACACTAACTTTCTGCTCATAGCACTAACCCTTAAAAAAATCCCTTTAGCAATTTACTTTCAAGTGCTCAAAAAAAATGGGCAGGAATTTCAGTTACTCAGCTACATTTATTTGTAAGCCCATAGCACTTTTATGATTTTGTCTGTCAGACCTGCTTTACAGTCTTCTAGACATTTCAGTATCACTTCAGAGCAGCGTTTAACTCCAGGTAAGTGGCTGTAGTCATTCACATAGTTTAACACTGATTTGTAAGGAACCAATCCTTTCTACTTACGCAGAAAGCCTGTTCAGTCTAACATATTTGAGACAAGGCAAACACTCAAAATTTACTCTTCTGTCCAGAATAAAACTAGGGCAGGGGAAAAAGGGGAAGGTGTTCAAGGAGGAATCTCCCAAAAATATACTAAAATTTCTCAACTCCAGGACTTTTGTACAAAGACTATGACAGCTTCCTATATTTTCTAGCAGCATCTAGAACAAAAATCTCATCCTCACTTATGAATACCTAGCTACAAAGTTGCTATTATAGTAAAAAAATCCTTGCCTGAGAGGAATCATTAGAAATTCTGGATTTCCTAATGATGCCAAAACTAAACAGAACAAATCTGTCTTCTGCTGGACCACTGAGTTGCTGTAAACTATTGAGCCACCTTCAAATGCCACACTACTTTAACTTTGCTTATTGAGGAGAAAGCTAATTTTGAAAGACACATGAATATATTTATCTCTGAAGATATTCTTCAACCTTGAAGAGGTTATATGATGTGATTACACAGTGTTACAAAACTGATGCACAAATAACATACTTCAACAGTGTCAAAAGCATAAGTTTATAAGGGCAAACACAGATAAAAATTAAACATACATATAAATGTAGGCATGAAAAGTACCTTGCTCGCCCAGGCATCTTCATCCCAGGAAGTGAGTTGCAATACACGGATTATTTCATTTATCTCAGCACTCATTTTCTCTACTGTGAAATTGCGATTTTTCAAGGCCTCTTCTATTCCCTGGCTTTTAGAATTTTTTGTGGTTACAAAAATCTTCATAGCTGTGAAAATACCATAGATTAGAAAAAGGTACATGCAAGATCCAATCAGTGGTCAAGGTGACCCACAGTACTTATATAGCACATTTTCTTTTGCATGGACCCTTTTATCTCAAAGAGATTGTAGTTTTAATACAAATAGCACAGTTATTTGCAATGAATGCAGAAGCAGTGTCAAGGTTATTTTTAATAAATATAAGACATTGGAACTCCAGTTCAAAACAGTAATTCAGAGTGGCATTAGAAAACAAAGCAAAAAATACCTGAAATAAGTACTGGCAATAGCTCCTTCACAGTATTCATGGAGTTTACCAGCATAACCCTGTGTTCCTGATGAGTTAATTCCTGTTGTCTCTCATCAATCATTTTGGCCATCTTTGTCATCCCTAAAGATTAAAGCAATTGAACATCGCAACAGTTGAGTTTTCAAAACATGAACAAGGCACATGAAAACTGTATTGAAGTTTAAAACAAGTTTTATATTAGCAGCTGTTACTTAAAGCACATTCCAGACACTTCAGAGAAGTCACTGATTCAAAATCTAGCCACTGTGTAAAGTAGAATGGATTCCTCTAAATTTTTGACTTAAAATCCCACCAATAAAATTGGAAAATACTTGAAATTACTGTTTTAGGACACAAAGTCACTTCATGAATTCTGGAAGCTAATTTATGGGGTGGTTTTTTTCTCCTATTCTGTTAAGATGTGATCCATGCCTTAAGTGACAGAGAAAGGAAACATCAGGGTTTTGTTTGTTTGCCTTGAGGTTCTACCAGAGGTCAAGAACTGTATTTATTTATACTTCAGATCTGCTAGAAATATTTCAGTGCCCTAGAAGTAGGAAAAGAACTAAATTTATTTTAGAGCAGATCTATTTGCAATATCTAAGACTTGTGAGGTTCACTACACAGAACACATGGAAACTTCAGACAACACTTCATAAAAATTTAAGGTTATTTAAATTGGTGCTGTTGTGGTCCTACTCTCTCTCCTACAGGGGACAAAACTGGAAGGAAGCTGTACATTCTTTGGTTCAGTTACCTTTCTGTTGGTTAGCATCTTAATATAACACTGCTTTCATGACATCACTGAAAAGTAGTAGAATCCTCACACTGACAGCACAGAGAGGTGAGCTGTGCAGAACCACTTTTCCTTTCAAATGACAAAAGCCTAAATAGGTAATCATGTTCTCTCTACTTCCAACATAAAACCTATAAGCACTTCTTTGATTTTAACCACACCTGCACATACTCCTGTTATTTATATAGTACTCACATTAATAGTTAAGTTCAGATGCCCATTATCATATCTAAAGGGAACAATGACTCCAGGCATAAGTTTTGTAGGCATGGGCTGCAAGTGTTGAGCAGCATTTAGCTCAGGCAAAAACAGAGCTTCTATAGGATGCCAGAAGCTACTTACTAATCACTTACACTGGTGACAGTGTGAGTTAACACATTGAAGTAACAAGTAGTGAAGGAGCATCAAATAACAAAGAATTTCTGTAACAGCTGGGCTTTTGTATTATACTGCAAGACAGCTATTTCTGCAACCTCATTAAGATTCTAATATATGGCATGTACTTTTATACTACTCCAAGAAATTTCTACTAGGCCCAACTATCTCAGCTAGTACAGACATTTTATCAGTTTAATGGATTTTTGTATCTGTGAGTGCTTAGTTACAGAGCTTTTTCCTTTCTTTTCTGTTTTACCCTTACTAATGCATGCTTACTTCCCTCACAGTGTAGAAAAAATATAGTATGTATCATCTGTGTACCACATAAAATTTATCAACATCTTTATTCTTCTGCATTCTTAAAGGAGAATGTGAATCAGTAAATAGTCATCATTCACCCTCTAGTTTAAAACTCTTTCCAACAGACACTTTCAAAAAAACTGCTCTATCACTGCCCAAACACTCGAAACTCAGGTGAGGAAGGTACTGTGGGGAAAACAAAGTAGTGGAAAGGCCTATATTCAGTATATTTGTGAAAGGCTGTAGCAAATCAAACCTGGCCCCAGATTCTTCGTGTATGTCACCAAATCCTCCATTGTCTCTACCACTTCTGCCACAGTCAGATATTCCAGTATTCCTTTGCAGACACGGATGATTTTACGGACCTAAAAGAGGAATGTTCCATTATTTGTTAGGTGAGGCTAAGTTACATTTGAATTAGAAATGCAAGCCTGTTATTAGACAGAATAGGCATAGCATTTACTAACATGATGAATGTGGAATCACAAAGGTCTGAGATACTTAATAAGTTGCCCAAAATATCACTACTTGAGTGCTGTAATGACAAGCCAATATTTTAATCAGTTTTCCACTACTCAGAAATGCAAAATCCTGCTTCCAGTGTTTTCACTTTGTACGATAAATGAGGATAGCATTGAGAAAACAGGTTATAAAGAAGTGCATTTAGGTACACTGGCATGCTTGAAGTTTTTCATTGCAATTTCATCAATAAAAATATTTAACTTAAATCACAAAGCAAAACTACACAGAAAGCAGACTTCAAGCTTTCAGAGGAAATATTCACCACACAGTTTTACAGATGGATAAAACATTATCCAGCATTCCAGCAGGAAAGATAGATCCAAAATCTTAAGCTTTCCAGAAAAATCTATGAAGGCTGTACTTTACTTCTGGACCTCCACTTCAGCTTAACTTTTTCAGTTCCTACTTGATTCCAAAACAGAGTTCTCTGTCAGTTAATCTTCTAACCCCCCCAAACAACATTATTTCTGACAACACCATATACAATTCTTATTGAAGAATGAGTTAATTAACATTTGATTTGTATCAACCACATGCAGTGTTCAGTCCCTACAATAGATCAAAATTTCCTCTGAAACTCATTTCAGTTTGTCCCAACATGAGTTCATATTGAAAGACAGTAGGACAGAGACATGCCAACTTCTGTATTTGTGACAAGTCAATCATTCCAGACTAATGTCTTCCTTTGGTTAACAAGCAGTTGACAGACTAGTACAATGAAGCATTAACTTCAGAGAGCTCAAGTCATTTCCTAAACACTGGAAGCAGGGAGATTAAAAGACTTCCTTGAAATTCTGTCCTCTAAAACTTCTATTAAAAAAATCACTTAAAATAATGAGAATCACAACTGCCACAGAGAAATCCCACAGCATTCTCCTCATTTCAGAGAAGCATGCTAACAGTAGCACTAGCTGATTAAATGAGACAAGGATGGGATGTTAGACTACTCAGAACAGATGGAAGAGTAACACAATTCCATAGATTAACAGACTGATGCAAAATTAGGATTAACATCAGCATTTCTAACAGTATGAGCTTCGTTTCTTCATTGTAGCATACTATTTCTTATTTAGAAATGAGCAAGATTCCATGTGCCCAGAAGGAGTGCCAAAACTAAGATTTATACCCAAAAACATCTTCAAACATAGGACTCCTTTTTAAGATTCCTTGCAACTATGGCTTTTTTTGTGCATATGACAATGGACAAACTGCAATTCTGAGCCACTCCTTGACTTGTGCAGCAGACAAAACATAGCAACTCTAAGATTTATCAGAATATACTTTCTGCCTGCCCAGCCAGACAGTCCAAATTTGTATTACCTTCTGCTCTCCAAGGCCAACTAAATTGCCACAGTTACTGAGTCAGACAAACAGGTTAAGAAGTGGCCTAGAGCTTTTTAGTGAAGGGATACAGAAAATATAAGAATCAGTAATGGGTATGGTGAAGGGAATACAGAAAATTGTCAGGAAGACAGTAGATAGGATCAGGCCTTTTTCAGCAATAATCACAGGCAAATTATGTCACGTAAAGATGCTCTAAACAAAGCAGAGCAACAAGCCTAAGATCCTTCTAAAAAAAGGAATAAAAAAATATGCTCCCAATCAAGTTAAAATTATTAATCTACTCAATAGTTAGGTCAGCTAATTCAGAAAGGGGGATATTTTAATTAATAATACTGTTGTGCAGATACCTATGTCAGTCATGTTGGGATTCCTACCTCCGCTTCATCGAATGTCAGCAGCAAGTCTGATGTTCCAGAAAGGATGCCTCTTGAGCCATCAATCAGATAGTCACGAGCTGGTACTGAATAAGGATCTGCTTGCAACATCTGGGCTGCCCGGACAAGTTTAGTGCAGGCATTCTCCACCCTGTGGAAGTCACCAGACAAAACCTGCTGATTAGTTTCTGTCTGTATGACAGACTTGAGAAAATGTTGGATTTAACTTCACTACTTGAAGCACTGAAAGCAAACTGATCATTCTACACCTCTGTAGTTTAAAAAGCCAGAGTATTTACTATATTTACATTAACAAGAAAATAACCAGCAACCACACCATGCAGTTTTTTAGAAGTCATGCAATCTTTCCCATGCAGGGAATGTTTGAAGCACCCCTTGTACAGCAGTCACTACAGTGGCATTAAGGAGAGTTCCCAACCCAGCAAAATACCCTGCATTCTTCAGGACAAGGGCAAGGAATAAAACACTTATTTTTTTAGGACTTTACAATCGAATTAATTCCTAACTTTCATCAGCCTTGTATATGCATTGTCATTCAAGTAGCAATTGCTGTTAATAAATATTAAATGATAACTACACATTAAGAAAAAAATAACATAGTATTAAGAAAACCAAGACACTGTTCCCTGTGCCTTGAAGCTGTCCAGCTCTTTAGAATGTTCACATTCACAACAGAAATAAAATTTTAAATAACCACAAAATTTAGTGGTAAGGTACAATCTTCAAATGCAGCTTGCAATTCCAGACTTAAGAACAAAAAGGAAATTTGGCAAGATATTATGTATGTAACTACAGCAACACAGAAGGTACATCAATAAGAAAATTAGCTCTGAAATTTGATTCCATCAAGCCATTTAACAAAACAACTGTAAAATATCAAAAATTGGAAGACTAAAAAGGTTTTGGTTTTGTTCCCTTGTTGTAAGTACTCTGTGACACCTTAGGGAAATACAAAATGCAGACTTCACTTTCCTGCTAGCTATGCTACTCATGTAGTTATTGACTACACTGGCTGTGACTTTCCTCCATTCTCCAGTTTCCTTTGGGGGGGGTGTAATACATGTGAGTGCCATGTGCTCATTCCAGTTGCATGAAGTTCCAACAAACATTAAACCCTTTTATTACAGCGCTGCTACCTCTTACCACCACTTTTTCCTGCATGTCACGTGGCCCATTTTCTACTGACCACTTGGATGCACTCTTTTATCATACTTCCAGTTAAGCACTTTTGGAAAGTTACAGTTATCCCACTTTTTCCTCTCTGTTCTTTGCTAACACAAACATTAGAACTTAATGGTTAGATGTAAATTTAACTGGTAGAAATAAGACACTTATTACAGGAAAACACACTTTTTTCCAGAAAATAAAGTTTTCAGCTAATGGCTCCCTAGAGCAGATCAAATTGGGCCAGCTGCATTACCATAACCTGCTCTTTCTGTGAGACATCTGCTCGGTGTATCAGATAGCAGGAACTCATAACTGAGTAAGAGAATGCAGAAGGATTTGAAGGCAGAAAGTGGGAATGGTCTGCTCATTACTATGCAAGGCACTTGGTTGTATTATCAAAGTCAACTGACTTCACTAAATTAGATTTCCGCGCTTGCTTCTCACATTTATTCTTTTCAACTCTGCCAAGAAAGGGATTAAACAAATCACCAATTCAGCTAGCTCAGAGCTCTAGGCTCAGAAATACTTAATTTCCTACAGTTTAATTTCATGGTCATCTGTTTAATACTAATAATTATCTCCAGGCTGGCTTTTTTGTTTGTAAAGAAAAGAATTAAGATAAGTGTATATTATACCAGAAGTCACCATAATTAATGAAAATTTCTAAAGATTCAAAGTTTTCATTTACAGCTTTTAGGGTTGAACCTCTTAAAGGTAACCTTTCATTTTCCTAATATAATGCCCATTTTGTGTAAACTTCCCAAAGCACTTTAAGTACTCCAGGCTTGTATACTATGTACAAAATAAGCAGAATGGTGTTAAAAAAAATTAGACATACTTCTCCCTTTGCAAAGCACACATACTAGGAAGCAAAAGATTAGAATTTGGGAAAAAAAGTATTTAATTACTTTCATTAAAAAAACCCAAACCAAACAAAGCAATAACACAAACAACCAAAAACTACTAAAAATATTCACTGCAATGAATTCCTTGTTCTATCACAAGAATCAAACTCATTCAGAAGTTTGGAGTAGTAGTTCATTGCTATGGTGAAACTTCTAATCTCTGTGTTATACTGCAACATTAAAAAAACTCCAAAGCTTTATACGAAAAGTATATTTATTTTTTGTAATGTATTATAATTACAATAAAGTTATGTTAGCACCAGCCAAATTCTTTGTGGGGAAGACATCAGTCATGATATTTCTAACCACACTACTTTTGGTAGTTAATCAGCTTCACCCCTGTTAAGTGTATTCCTTATGAAATGTGAGGAAAATAACTGTAGCTTATGCTAAACTACCATTTTAGTTTTTAGATTTTAGGATTGACCTCTGCTTTTCCCAGAGGTCATTTTCCAGTTTACTCACTACAATTTAGATTACTTGCAGTTTGAGAAATATAAAGCAAATATTTTATATTAATATTAATTTGTTAATATAGTTACCAGCAATGCAGCTCCAATTTGGCTACCAAAATAATGTTAGTATAGAATAGTATTGTTGCTTGATTTGTTAAATGAGTTTGTGCATGCAAGTGAAACACAAATTTTTTATCTCAGTGTAAACAAATAGGTGTTACCCTATTCTTTGCCTAGAGATTGTAGTTCTTTAGTTCTTAACAAGAGAAGTTTAACAAGTAATATGAACACACTGCAAAACATCTGATGTAAATTATAATCATTATTCATACTCCCTGGTGATTAAGACAATTAAGATAAAGAAGACAGCATTTTTTAACTCTAAGTCAACAGTTTCCATGTGGTTTATGTCAGTAACAAACAAAAGGATGCAAAATAGCTTCTGAGCAGCCAGCAAGTTATTTTGCTGCACCATCACACTCCTACTGAAAAGCTTTACAGATTAACATCATAGATATTCATTATGAATCCTCAATGCCAGTCTCAAGTCTTTCAAAGGAATAAGAGATGTCCTTCATCCTCCAAGACTGTTCCCTCAAGACTGGTGATCCTTTTGAATGGAGGAAATATGGACAGGGAATGCAGTGCTAGCACATGTGTACTGTGTGCAAATTCTGCTGGAGCACTCCCTTGAAGAGGAATGCCAGTTCCTGAAACAATGCTTCAGAAACAAAAAAAGCCTCCTTCTCGGGAAAACAAAAACAAAAGAAGACCCTTCTCTGTTTCACTTCCTGCATCCAAATTCTGTCCTTTAATGCAGGAAAAGGTAAGACTCCCTTGGCAGCTCACCTGTTCCTGTCACTTGTCTCCACAACCAAGATATCAGTGACAATACACTCCACAGCATTAACAAGAAACTATTAACATGTACTAGTTCATTTTAATATAAATTCCAGATTTAAAAAAAAACAAAACAAATTAAATAGGTTGTCATTCGTAGAGGCCACCAAACATTCCTAACCCATGTTACTGCACCTAGGATAGTAGGTACTAGGTGAACTATGTTTCATCACTGTGACACATAGATTTGTTTCCTATTTTTCATTATATCACAGTTCAAACAGTCACGAATTGTTGCAGAAAGAGTTCTTGCACCTAGCATAAAAAGTAGTACTGTTCAGCAGTGCTTGTATCACATTTCTACAGCAATTTAATTATTGAAGTCTTCTTAGTCTGCTAAGTGTTGATCAAACACTGAAATTAAGAAAATCTCTTTTCCTTAATCCCTTACTTGTCTAGCTGAAAAAGAAGCTGGAAATTACCTAAAAACTCTACACATCTAGAAAATGAGCACGATCAAAACTGCTTGTTTTTAATTCATCAAGAAGCAAGTAAACACTCCCCTCAAAAAAAAAAAAAAAAAAAAAAAATCAAGCCCCTCTCCACCCGAACAGGATCACCCAGCAGAAACACAGCATGATAAATACTGCAGTGGATTGTATCAAAGGCCCTTTTAGCTCAGTAGCCTGTCTCCAGAAGCAGCTGTGAGTAAATGCCTAAGGAAGGTTAGGAACAGGATGAGCATTTATCCAACTTCCTCCAGGCACTCTCCCATCCTCCAACTATTTTCAGTTCTTGGGACTTCCTGCAGTTTGTCTATTTGATAACCCACAATGGATTCTTCTAAGTACTTAGCTATTAACCTCCAAACCCATATAAAGAGTTTTAACAGTACACAATTAGCTGTACAAAGAATCTCTCCCTACTGTTGGTTTATAAATTACTAGTTTAAAGCAATTCCCCCATCAAGTTCTTGCAAAAGAAAAGTACAAGCTTCCATCTTCTCCATGCAACTCATATTTCCTTAGACCTTTGTCAGGGCCTCAATCCCCTCTGTCACTCTTCCCAGGCTGAAGAGTTCCAGCCTACTTGGCTTTGCCTTATACAGAAGTAATTCCTTGCCTTTGTTCTCCAAGCCCTTCTATGAGCTTTTTCCAGCACTACTATAGCTTAAGATTGTGGGAGTACCAGTACATGCAGTATTTGAGGTGTGGGAGAAAAATATAGACAGAGTGACATTTTAGTCTCTCATTCTTTGATGATAAACCTAATATTTTTTTTTACTTTTTCACCACTATGAGCACACAATAGATGCTCTCTCCAATGTATCACAGCTCCAAGAATCTTGCTCACAATTTGTAAGGGTCAGTTCAGTCGATCATCCTATCTGACCATAGAACTGCTGCTCTCCCATGTGCACATCATTTTAGATCTTTCAAAATAATTTAATCCACACTTAATATCAAGTCACTTCAATTAATAAGGTCATGCTGTAATTTCTCAGTCATCCATTAATCTCACTACCTCGTATAAGACTTGAGGTCATTGGCAAGTACTTTTGCCTCACAGCTCAGTCTGGTCTCCAGAGCTTTTATGAACGTGGTGAAAAGCACAATCCCAACAGAGAGCTCTGCAGCTGTACTGATTTCCTCCTGCCACTGGCAGGGTTAAAAGTCTAATTTTTCCTTCCACCTTCCATTTTGTCTTTTCCATACAAGAATTTTTCATGTTACCCTGTGGCTAATTCGTTTTCTTAAAAGCCTGTAGACTCTGCCATAAAGTTTAGAAATCAGTGTATACTGTATTACCTGGATTACCCTTTCTCCTGTTTGTGATATTTCTAATACCAACAGATTTATAAGGCAGAATTTCCCTCCACAGAAACACTGTCAATTCACCCACAGGACACCATATATATCTAGGATCTATTAATTCTCTTCTCTAATACAGAATTTCTAGCCTTTTGCTCCAAAAGTATGTCAGACCTATAGACCTCCTGTTCCCCAGATTTCCCTAGGAAGTTTCTCAGGCAGTAGCATCTCATTGATTGACACACTGGTGGTATCAAGTGACAGACTTGATACTACACTAATAATTCAGCTATTTCATTCTTGAACTCATATGCTAATACTACCTGGACCTAAACATTATTTTAATTATTCATTTTGTCAACCTACAATGCAACAAACTCTAAATCCTTTTTACTGCCTACCATAAGTTTTCTCTTCAGACATCGTCTCTCTTCTCCATTTTATTATTTTCCTTAATTGCCTCAATGCTTTCTTGTTTTGACTATCTGCCTGTTTGGTGTTTGGAAACACATTAAAATAGTCAGTCATTCTGTATGCACAGGACAACAGTAATAGAGGTTACTATATTCAGTAGACTGTAGGGCAGTCACTTCAGTAGAAGTCTGTCTGATGGCAATAAGCAGCTCGGGAATTCCACAACAAGGTGTGAGGTATCATTTTGAAGACTTAAGGCAAGAGAAGGAAAAAGTCAGTTGTCCTTGATAGCAACTCATAGAATTAAGAGTGTCTGCTCTAAGTGGAGTTACCGCCTACTAGACTGTCTGCAGTGAGCCACTGCTTTTCAAATATCTTATATTTCCAAGCAGGTATATCACATGCAATAGCTGCCTATACTGACAAATACACACTTTTCCATCCACCAAATAAAACAGAAGAGATTGATAACACCACATTATCTCTGGCACTGTTAGGTAAACCTACAGCAGCATGCAGGTAATCTGATTTATTATTATTTTTAAAGGAAGAAATGCCCTATGTATGTACCTATATGTACAGAATGTAACAGAACAAGTCACTGCTGCTCAAAAGGTTGTTCCTGACAAAGGTCAGCCTCAACACACCTGAGAACTTTTCAAACATAAGAATATTTTCCTATCTGTACAGCAGAAACGAGTAACAGTAATCTACCATTGGAACAGGTTTCCTCTACCTACAACACAAGATTTACAATAAAATGAGTTTACTTGATAAACGCTGGTGGCATATCCCTTTTCAAGATCTGGTCTTCTGTTGTCTGCACAGTCTCCTTTCCAACCTGCAGGAGAAAGAAGTCATACTTCAGAATCAAAATTTCAGTGTAAAGGCCAGATAAAAGCCAATAGCAAAATAGCAACAAAAAACCCCGCTTTGCACTACTGATAATTTTTTTCACTAGGTTCTTGTTGCTGTGTCTGCTTTTGAGACCACCTGGTCTCAAAATGCTTTAGAAATCTAAATTGTTTCCTACCAACATCTCTACTAAATTGAAGGGGGACAGACAAACACACTTTTCCCTCTTCCCACTCTGCATAGAAACAAGACTATCTTTTTTTTCCTGCACTTAGTTGCAAAACCTTAATCACTGAACTCTGAAGACTTCCCTCCCTCCTAGTCCCCATATATCAGAAATCAAGTTCAAACTTAAAAATTACCCTCATTTTGCTACTTAACTTAGTCTATTAGAAAAATGTAGTTAATTACTGAGAATACACCCCACATCCACATTCACAGCATCCTTTAGGCAAAAATAATCATGCAGAAGTTAATAAAGAAAGAAACAGAGTAAGATCTGGAGTTCTCTATACACTAGCTCTTGTGTTACACAATAGAAGTCTTTATAATTGGTAGCTGACTCTCTGAACTGTGAGATCACCAACTTGACAAAATATTTCCAGCTCCTTTGTTCGCTGTATTTTCCAGCTGAATAAGCTATTCACAAAGGCATCACAAAGCAGAAGGTCTTTAACCCAGACACTATTTTGTGTTAAGAGCTGCCAGGCCTGCTCAAGCTGACAAGATAGCCCTGAAAATCCCTGATCAGCTGGTGTTTAAAGATTTGCTGGTTTTTGACAGAAGATGTAGTGTGTCAGTAGGCACAGCACTTGCCAATTCTAATTCTGCACAGCCTTCCAGAAGCACCATTTCCTTGCAAATTCTTGCTGCTTGCCAAAAACTGTGTCTCCTTGGTCTGGTTCTTTTCAGAGGAACTTTACAGAAGTACATTGGTCCTAGTATTCTATTTGCTTCACAGATTCAGCCTAGCCTATTTCTTTTGAATAGATATTAGTACTAAACTCACAATTAGTCGCTTAGTTACTTAGAAGTAAAGAAGGAAGACCAAAAAGGAAGGTTAAAGGCCTTGAATTTTATGGTAGGTTTCTGTCTCTTGTGTTCATTGTAGGCTCACCAAGGATCCTGCCCCCTCCTCATGCATAGCACTGTGGTGTTGCTTTGACTCCCAAACTTCATGGCAATGCCTCAGAAGCACGATTCCAAATGTATCTCACACCCCAAATCCTGAGACAGGGTTACATGACCCACTAGAGAGTATGCCTGCTTTGTTCTAATTATTTCCACTGCATTCATGAACAATGTTATTTGTATTTCTCACAAGTTTGTACGCATATATGCATGATCAAGATGACACAAAAAGCAGAGTAATTCATATTAACTTTGGATTACACACTGTTCACACAAAGAACTGTCCCCAGGTGAAAATGAAGAGAAAGAAAATATTTTATTTCCAAGAACCATGCCTTCAAGATTTTTCTTGCAGCTGTACCAATCTGCATATAGTTCATTATATTGAAAAAATACATTTGAAAACATTTAATTTTTAAAGAATGTAAAAAAATAAAGTCTGCAATGGGGTGGGGCGCTTCACACTGAAGGCCATTCTAGCAATCTTTGTTGTTATTTTACATTAATCAGTCAGGAGCAACCAAGAAACAACTTTTACACAAGTTACACTTGATGCTTTATGTATTTAAAATTACTCCTAGTTTTATTAGATCATATAAAAAGCATCTTGTCATTCAGTCTGGAAAGCATAAGTCTCTTCTATCAAAGGTTTACTATTCAAAGAAGCATTATCAGCTAAGTATAGATAGATACATACACCTACTTTTTATATTTATACATACATGTATTTAGACATTCTTTGCTATAACTAGCTAGGATCTTTGGTCTTCAAATGAAAGTAACATATAGGATACGAGTCCACTCCCATTTTGTTTGGTTGTTTTTTGGGGTTTTTTTGTGGTGAGTTTTAACCTCAAAAAACTGCCCTAAACTCCAACAACATTTCTCTTCCAAACCCATCCCTATTCTAAGCACTGTATAGCACAGAGACAGGACAAGATTTCCAGCAGTTCCCATGATGCCTCAATTAAAAAGGTCTACTACCTTTCCAGCAAAAAGGACTTTCAACCTTATGTTACACACCAATTCAACATGCACTCCCTGCATCTGTTTATATATAAAACCTTGTTCCCCCAAGGAAAGCATTTCCTCTTTACATAGCTCTTACATAACCTCTCCAGAAGTTGTTCTTTGCATTTGTGGCCAAGGTATAGAGATGGCACATAAAGAACAAATGTACTCCACATGACATTTAACAGGCAAAGTCTCAAAACACGAAGCTACAGTCACAACTAGAAATTTATAACCTCAAAGAGTTTAGCGGGTTTTCCTTTCTAGCTTTGTGGTTAGGGTTTTTTTTTGTTGTTGTTGTATTAGTTTTCATAAGATCCTGTTTCTTCAGATTTTACATGGCCTAAGCAATTTTTGGACACAGTACAGTGTAATACAAGGTAGAGATTCACTCAACTCTACCTTCTCCACACTGCAGTACCAAGCAGATGAAGGGTTTTCTCCTTGAAGATGCAGTATCTACACATTCCTTATTTCAGGTGGAAGGCTTCTCAAGCTTCACACTAATACAAAACTATCATCTGAGAAATAGGTATTCTATTTCTATCTAACAGCACACGTAGAAAAAACAACAGCATTCCTACTTGGGTTTCAGATATTATTGCCTCCTAAAATAATCTTACCTTAACTAACTGGGAAGCAACAGTCCCCATTATATAGAAGCTTCTGCTTTTACATAATGCTCAAGTGGTAATGACTCGTGGTTCCAAAGAAACTGCCCTGGCTAACACAGTAAAGGGATAACTTCAACACTGTGCCTTACAGAGTAAGGGAAGCTCTCAAGCAAACCTTACCAAGACAATGTCATAGTTACAACTTCCACCCATCCATATTAATTTCCATACTCTTGGGGAGATTAGAAACAAAATCAGTTAAAAAAAAGGAGTGAGCTGTTTTCCCACTTGCTCCCTGCTCAAAAAACAGGGAACAAGAGACAGGCCAAGTCGAGAAAGTTAAAGGAAATGGGACACACACAAGTCAGAGGGCATATATGGCCACTAAAAAGCCTTACAGAAATGTAGCTATAAACAGCAGGAAGAGATTGAGATTACCTGTGCTGTTGGCTTTTAACTTTGCTTGTAAGTCTCATACACTCCTATTTACACTGATTAGTAGATCAGTATGCTTTAAGCTTCCTGATGGGGAGTATTTTCTCCATGGAAAAGAAAGAGGAAAACTTTTTCATCAGGTTGAGTTTTTTTCTTTATAGCCAGTTTTGCAGCTTTGTTGAGTTTGGTTCTACTGCAGGAAAGACAAGACAAGAGCACCCCACAAGGTCCCTTTCCCACTTTTTTTTTAGCCTGCTGCATATAGTTCAGTGAGAATGGCAAATAGCTTCAGCTTCTGTCATTCTATAAGCTTGTTTAAACAAAACCACCACAAGCACCCAGTAACATCTAGCTCTTTTTACTTCTACAAGTTTCAAAGTACAAACTGCATGTATCATATCAAACAAAGCACAAATATTTAAGATGAGAGTCCAAAATGTATTGTTTGAGGGTCACTATATTTTTTTAAATAAAGATTCTTCTGAATGTCTATATTGACAATACCAGTTTGACAATTTGCCAAATGCTGGAAATGAAATCTTCCTTGCAGCTTATATGATTTCCCCTGTTAAAAGGGAAGATGACCTTAGAAGAATTAGTTCTTGCAGTGCTCCAGAAGCTAATTTAAAACATCTGTCATTTTAGCAAGGAGCCTAAAAATATTCCCCCCTCATCATCATCCAGTGAACACATAACAGCCCTGGCTATTACACTAGCAGAGCCCCACATTTCCCCCAGGAAATAAGCTCCAGTATAAGTTTTACTTGACAAATCCAAGTGCCACACAAAGTGATCTAGTCTGTATGCTGTAAAAGGAACTTCACCATAAGACATCTCACATAAAAATCCACTTGATGGCTTATGCATTCTTCCATGTTTTGCAAGCTTCCAGGAAGGATCATGACAGCAATAGGAGCATTAAATCTCACATCAAAAATGTGTAATACACCAGTGTAGTTCCATCAAGTTCCCTGCAACTTCTTTCCCAATTTCTTTAAATGTCTGTCCTGAAAAAATAAACTTCAGTACTTGCTTCAACTCTACAGCAACAACAGCCTCTACACTGCATAGCCATTTCTAGAATCCATCTCAAAATGGAGTTGCCAGTGCTTTCCCAACATCCTGTGTTTTAAGAAAGTAAAACTGGCCTAGATCTCACAACTACAAACAAGGTATCAAGTAGAGCTAGAAGCAAGCCAAAGTTACACCAAATTTATATACATTTCAGTCCAGACTAAAAAATACAGCCTGGGCAGACAGAATTAGATCTTCATGAAAGCACTTTGAATTCAGGTTACATACTTGCACACTACAGCATAAGGAAAGTGATGACTGAAATTAATAGCATCCAGTTGGGAATCCCATGCCTTTCAGAGTTCACCCCTCCACACAAGGCTTGTCCATTGAAGACCTAGAAATCTGGTCCTTTACCCCCTCAGTGATTCCAGAGACAGTTTGATTCAGTGGGTTCAGAAGTGGCAAGGGCTCAGTAACTACTTCACAATTGTTCGGTTTTCCTTTTGTGAAACCAGTCATTGGAGCCCAGTTACATGGAAAGCTCTTGGGAAGGAGCCCTGGCAGCAAAAAAAAAACCAAAATACCCCCCCCCCAAAAAAACCCCACACAAAACCAAACAAAACCAAAAAGGACTTGGCTGTTTACCTTTGTTCTTGTCACTCACAGTATTCTGATTGCAACCCACATTCTGTTTTTATTTACACTGTCAAGTAGATCCAATTGTTGGCATTTTGATGTATTTCTCTCAGCTCTTTTAGAAATACAGCTGTTGGAGTTGTTTTTATCACACCCTGACGCTTAGCTACCACAATCCATGTGGCAAACATGACAAAACAGACTTGCATACATCCTGGCATAGCAGCCCAGTACTAAACTTGGTCTGATGCAAGTAAAACAGCCTTGGGGTACATCATGAAACTTCTTGGTCTCATCTAAATTTTACAAGCCACTCAAATAACATCATATGTAAACAGCTTCCAGTAAAGACAGAATTTCTGCAAACTGTGAACAGAAAAAAAAAAAGGTAATTTTAGATGTTAATAGAAAAATCAAAGAGAACCAGTTTACAGGTCACTCCTTACAATTTAATCCTTCTCATTCAATAAGACTGAAAAAAGTGAGTCTTAACAAGCTATAACTTTTTTTTTTAACACAAACTTTTGTTGTTCATTCAAAGGCTCTCAGAAGCATTTAAAACAAATTTCCCATTTCTCCATAATTCTACTCATCTTGCTTTGAATTACAAGTGTGATTGATACATCGCTTGCAATTAGCGAGTTCAACACTGGTTTAAGAAGCTTTAGGGTTTTCTGCTTCTCTGTAGGGGAACAGGCCAATGCAATTAGAGACTGAAAAATAAGTGCAAGGAAACGTGCAGTTAAATTCAATTCCTGCTTTTAGTTTACACCAAATGGACAATGCACATGTACCACCAGTGACATCAGCCATGACTTCTCCTTGAAGCCAGGCCTGAAACTGCAGAGACTGATGAATCCAAGCCTCTCAGTCAGCACAGAAGCCACATACAGACTCCTGCTTCTCTCATGATTGCCCTGGAGACTGCATTCCAGGCATAGCAAGGTACAATTTCAAAGTCATCTGGCAAGTAAATTAGAACACTCCAGCCATCTGGTCCCCAATAGCAGCAAACTGACCTATCTGTTTACATTGGTGATTAAGAAAAATTTAATTGGCTTGAGGCTAAGAAAATCCTGCTGTCCAAGTAAAATACAGAACTATGAAACAAGAACCATATGGAAAACAAAAAGTGACATCATTTGGGTACTAAAAGACTTATTCATGCTGCTATTATCTACTAACTCTGTTACCAGTACAGAGCTGAGGTCTGGATGGTTTGGCTAATTACAGGATTAGCTTAACAGGAAGGAAACAAATACATACTGATTATGTGAGACTTTTACAGAGTTACTATAATTTGGAAATTAGTTCTTTTATCAAGAGAAGAGTTTCTTCTTCCCAATCACTACTTAAATTAAAACTACTGTAGGATATTATCATTCCAATTCAGTCAAATAACTTAAGTCATCTCTTACCTTTAGGCACATACAAAACTCATCAGAAAAAACAAGATGCAGCAACTGTAGTCTACAGATGAGACTGACAGCTGCAACTAGCTATCTTTACATTACAGTAAAATCAAAAGAAAAACACCATATACCAAACAGCATGTAGATTCTAAAAGCTCTTACAGTTCCTTTCCATACACCCAGGTCTGTGAACCACTATTTTCAGAGCACCTCTTAGTATGTATACATACGCAGCAAGATTTAGATTTAGTACTGTACTGAAAAATAACACATTTCAGAGCTAAATTTTCTCATTATTCAGATGCCTGTCTGAAAAATAAGAAACCAAACACCACGATTCTGCTGGTAGATTTAGACCATCTTTGATCATCTGCTGATATTTGCATGTTGGAGAGGATTTGGGTTTTAAGGATCTCCCTCCCGCCCCAGTAATTGAGATGCATCCTGTCCTCCCAGCCTTCCAAGTGTTAAGTCAAGTAGAAGCATTTAGAAAGTTTACTTAATCTTATGGCTTTTTAGTATTACTCTGTTACCAACACAGCCAAAAAGTCTCACCATAGGAAGTGCACAGATCATATCAAGCGGAAGAAAGACTTAGTTCCAGACACAGCAGAGCTGCCTGGGAGAATCTGTGTTTCTAATAGAGATAAATATTGTACTGGAGAGCCCTTAAATCAATCCAAGCTATAGCTACACATAGGTAGTAGCTGACTCTCTCTCCAGGATGTTTTTTCCATCACCAGAATGACAAACTGAGTTGTGCTGTGGTCTCTGTAACAATAAGATTACATTAGTATTCCACTTAAACACGTGTTGGTACAGAAAATATTCAAGAAGCTGAAAAAAGCAAAGACAAAAATAATATATGTTCTCTGTTACTTCTTGAGTAACTTTCAAATGGAGAACAGTAGAGCAATTTCTTTCTCTACTGTTCTGCATCTGACAGTTACTCAAGAAGTAACTGACTCAATCAGGTACAAGGCAGATGTCCAAAATAAATGTCTTAATTTCCTTTTGTTATTTCATTAACTACAAAATCTGTTGCTACTTTTTATAATCCATTTTAATCTTTGAAAACACTGCTGAATTGGCAGGTATTGTTACCTAAATGAGGCATTTTAATATACCCCAACTGAAAACAAAGGGGTACAGTTTTTGTACCAGTGCCATACCAGGCACTGAATTTTAGTATCTTCTAGTTGCTATATGCAAACTTGTACTGACTTCTGAATGCCAGACAGTTCAACACTGATTTTTCTCTCTTTTTGAGAAAGGGCAGCATCACTTCCCTTATCAGGTCTCTCCTAGAGCATCAGTGGTTCCAGAGAACAGACCGTTTTTCCTAAGCTCATGGCAGCAACAGTTTCCTGCAGGAAGACAAAATATATGAGCATGAGAAAGAAAAAAACATACATACCTAAAATTCCTTTTTTATAAAGTAATATTTTTCACTGAGTTTTTAATATGATATTAAAAATATCTTTATGTACTTCCTAATAAATAGCTGAAGCAACAGAAACTCTCCACATTCATCCTTTGGCATAAATCCTGCCACAGGAAATGGATTTTCACCAGCAAGATATGTACTACATGGTGGTTTATAGCAATTATCCACCTTCTGTAGCATACTGGACAATCTGTCTTTCATAACAGTCTTACTTTACTTGACTAACAGTTAATTCTAGTGTACAGTAAGTTCATGGTGTAAATCATTGCTCACATGTTAAATGTGATCTTTTAATTAGAGGCAACAATATCTAGTTACATTAAAGAGACTGTAACTAGAAATGGTAGGCTGTTTTCCAAGGGATAGTGCTCATTTACAGTACCATTAAAAACATAAGTGTATCAGAAATTTGATACCATGTGATTATTTTCCAGTTTGATTTTGCTTTCCATTCTCATGACCACTTATATCAGCTCTGCAAGGAATTCAGCATGGAGAAGTTGACCCACTTATGTGCAGAGTCACCACAATGAATTTGCAAACTTTTAAAAAGCAGCCACTCAGCAGAAATAACTGATGGAGGATGTTAAAAATCAAATGAAGTAGTGTCTGATCCAGCATTAATTCCAAGTTAGATGAAGATTTATTCAGCTGTTAAAATTAGTTTTTAATAAATCTTAAGCTTACTATATGGTCACATAACAAATCACTATCACATCTAATAAAGTTTTAAAAACAACTACTTTCAATAGCATTTGCTACTGATTTCTTGACTCACACTGAAAAAAAAAAAAAATCTTTTGAAGACATTAAGGGCTCGTGTTTTTTTGTTGTAGTAAAAGCTAATAAACTATGGCATAACAGCAAGTGTTACCAGTGTAGTCAAAACCTTCTACTAAGGGATGACCATAAGAGTGATATAATCCAATTCCTAGTTGTCACTGATTCTTTTGAGGATTTTTATCATTTAATTCATTCAACTCCTTTAAAACAAGAGCCTTTTTTTCCCCACTACAATTTCTTAGCATTTTAGAGCTCCATTGTGCCAGGCACTGTACAAACACATGATATTATCCAGTTCACATATAACAGTAAACCACTGCTGTGTCACATTACAGGAATGTTGACAAATCAACTCCACAGTTATCAAAGGACCACCCATTTCTAACAGTTAAAATCCTCTTACAAGTTTAATAGACATCAATGAAAAAGCCTTTAAATCTTTGTGAAATACAGATTAAGTTACAGTACCTGCTGTAATAATGTGGCTGAGAAGAAAATCATCAGCATTGCTGCAAATCAAACTAAAAGCAACTCCTATAACAGGAAGCTGTTCCCAACATTTTGTCCTATTTGAGGAAGTTGCTCCAAGTTTAATAGCAAGGGAACAGAAGAGAACCACTCTTCTCAACAATCATTATTCTACATTAAATAGAAATACAAGGTTTTGGACCAGCTAACAAACCAATAGTAAAACTTGTCTGAAGAAAGGAATTGTACTCAGTTGTGAAAGCAAATGCCAGATCCATCAAGTTTACAAACACCTTCCTACCTCCATTGCCACACAGTAACCAAGTTAGTTATAAATATTTTGGTGATTCTGACAACTAAGAAGCCACCTACACCAAAGTTTGCCCTTTGCAACAACAAAAGTGCAAGACAACTATGTAAAAATCTGCCACAACAACACTTCGTAGCAGTTCATAACCACTTCAGGGTCACAAGTATCTTTAGCATTGCACTACTCTGAGTAATTGGACAACAGACCACCTATTCCAATTATAGCCCCCCCAAATTGCCAGAGCAAAGCTGGTATGCAAGAAATTTACTTGCACTTGACAGATAAAACACTTCATATTCCATGGCTTTGAACTACAATAATCACTGATGTCAAGGTGGGAAGAGAAGGGGGAAACCCAACAAAAATCAGATCAACTGAAAAAATAGGTTCCATTCTGCTGCATGGGGAGTGGGCTGGGCTCAGCCAGTCTGACAGCTCAAGTGCCAGTGGAATCTAGTCAGAGAGCTGAGGAACACAGGTTTTCCCCAGCATTCACTGAAGAGAAATCAAAGAAATGCCATGCTATTACATTTTTTGTCCTTGGAGAAAAACTGAAGTCAAACTGAAACCCCCCAAAACTCACTAAGGTTTCCACTCCCCACCCCCTGATTTTTTGAGAAAAAGAGAACA